TAAGATGTTGTGAGCATCCTGCCTGCCTGCCTGCCTTCCTCCAGGCATGCCCTCACCACAACTGTGAGGTAATCCCTTAAGAATCCGAGGACAGGCACACATATCCCTCAGTTCTCTTCCTCCACAGAAACTTAGCCAATGTAACCGCTATTATCAAACCGTGATGGCTCGGGAAATTAACTTTTGCTGTAGATATGGTAGTCTTGATAGCTTTAAGCTAAAATTATAAGGCAGAAGAGTGCTTACATGGGAGGTTTACACTGTGAAGCTGTGTGGGTCACAGGTGAAGCCAAACTGTCTTTTATGTGCCCTGTGCTCTTAAACTGCAGCAAGGTCTCCAGGAACTTGGGTATACTAATGTGTTCAGAAGTATTCTCTGAGCTCAAACTACGATTTCAGTAAGTGTTTTGGACTTGATTCAAGTGAAAAGGAATTTCCATAGTGCCTGCCATTAGTTTAGTTTTGAGACAAGGTCTCGTGTAGTCCAGGCTGGACAGGAATTCAGTGGGAGAGGAGGAGAACCCTGAACTCAGGATCCCCCTGCCTCCACGTGTGGAGTGCTGGTTTATGTGGACTCCTGGCCCATGCAAGGCAAGCATTCTAAAATGGCCCCGGCCCATAGTTCACTAAATCATGGAACGGAGGAGCTTCCCCCAAAACTTCAGTTGGAGGTGATTAGCAATGTAGTGACATTCGCCAAAAAGCGAGTGTCAGGGGAGAATAATGTAGAATTTTTAAAATCCCCTCTACGTAATAAATAGGCCCAACTGAAATCTTATGCTACACTGGGCGGTGGTGGCCACGCCTGTATTCCCCGCACTCATGGAGGCAGAGGCAGATGGCTCTCTGTGAGTTCAGGGCCAGCCTGGTCTACAAAGTGAGTCCAGGACAGCCAGGGCTACTCGGAGAAACCCTGTCTCAAAACAACAAATCTTATGTTTTGGGGGTCACTGTCGTGGCTCCAGCCATGAAATGTTGACGAAGCGTGACTGAGACAAAGTGTGGGCTGCCTCCGAGAACCAAGGGGAGAGGGGGAGGACGGCCAAGGCCCGCCTTTCCCAGGTGTGCCTGTGCCCACGTGCACACAGCAGAGACCCGGGAGCCAGAGGCTGGGGTGGAAGCCTGCCTTTGTTCTTACACGGGCCCTTACACTCCCCAGGGAACAGGCCGACCCTGAATCCGCGCCCCTCCTGCACCGCCACGCGCAGCTCAGCCCAACAATCTCAGCCTACACGGGGCCTTAAACTCCCCAGGTAACAGGCCGACTCTGAATCCGCGCCCCTCCTGCACCACCACGCGCAGCTCAGCCCAACAATCTCAGCCCATACCCGCAGGTTCATTCGTCGTTCATTTACTCATTTGTGGTTTTTGAGTCAGGGTCTCTCTGTGTAGCCTTGGCTGTCCTGGAACTTGCTCTGTAGACCAAGCTGGCCTCAAACTCACAGAGAACTGCCTGCTTCTACCTCCCAAGTGACAGGATTAAGTGTGTGCCCCTGCCACCTGGCCTATTTTTACTTTTAAAAGCTCATGTATCTATGTGTATGGAGGTTTTGTCTGCGTGTGTTGTCTGTGCAGAGTGTGCACGCCTGGTGTCCTGGGAGGCCGGTTATGATATGTAAATATGTTTTTGTTTTAGTCCCAAGTGTGGATTTTAGTTTGGGATGCAGTTTGTCCGAAGCTGATAACTGGCTCCTGCTGGGCGTGGTCTTTGCCAGCTGGTAATGCCTGCCTCATGCAGCACGAAGGAAGGGTGTGGTCTAGGGTTCTGAGGGATGTAAGTATGAGAGCCCAGAAAGAGAAGCTGTGGCAGTTTGGAGAGACCAGAGACAGACAGATGGTGTGGCGGCTTGGAGGAGACAGAAAAGTTTCAATGCATCAGCCTGGAGAAGACTGCTTGCTGCGTTTGCCCCCAAAGAATACATCAGTCCTAAAGAGCCAGGAGACGAAAAGGGGTCTGTGACCCCTCTCCCCACGAATCTTCTCTTTTACCTAGGTTAAAGGGTTGGTGGAAGGGAGGCCAAGGCTTAACTACCCCAAATAAGAGTTTAACAAAGAGTGCAACAACATGCATTTTTCCCTCTTCTACCTCAGGACTTCATCTCTTCTTTGAAGACTTCACAGTCACACTGACGGGAGGTCAAGGTGCTCTAGCTGGAGTATAGGTATGAACCTAAAAGTTCAAGTGAGCATTATTTATTTGTGGACCTGGTCAAACCAACCTTTTGTACTTGCTAGGCAAGTATCTACCACTGACTTACAGCCCTAACTCTCTCCCGAGAAATTTATTTTCAATTCAGTGCCACAAGAACAAGAATCAAGGGGGCTGGAGAAATGGCTCAGTGGTTAAGAGCACTGTCTGCTCTTCCAGAGGTTCTGAGTTCAATTTCCAGCAACCACACGGTGGCTCACAACTATCTACACCTTCTACTGCCCTCTTAGAGCACTAATATGCATAAAATAAATAAATAAAATCTTTAAAAAAAGTTAAAAAAAAAAAAAAAAGAACAAGTATCAACCAGGCTTGTAGCTCACTTGTGCGATACATAATTCCAAGTGTGAGGTCCTGGATCCAATTCCCAGCATCAAAACCAAACAAAACAACCCCAAGCAACAAAAAAACAAAATGACACTTGGTGATGGCACATGCCTTTAATCCCAGCACTTGGGAGGCAGAGGCAGGAGGAGCTCTGTGAGTTCGAGGCCAGCCTGCTCTACAGAGCTAGTTCCAAAACAGTCAGGGCTACACAGAGAAACCCCATCTCCGAAAAAAACCTGGGAAGAGACAAAAACGAAGCAAGCAAAACCTAGCAAGAATGACCTGGTGTGGCAGTGTGCCCTATAACCTCATCACTCAGGAGGTAGAGGAAAGAAAGCCTAACAGAAGAGGCCCTGGACACAAAAGACCACTTGTGTCAAGACCACTTTGGGCACAAAACAAACCACTCTGATACCAAGGTCCATGTCAAGAACAGGAATTCTTGTTCCATGAGCCCTGACGGGACTTGTCCTTCCAAAGGCAGGCCTCCTCTCCTTCGACTGCAGGAGCCACTTCCCAATCTTCCATAACTCTGATTTTAGTATGGTCATCTGCAGCCAACCTCCTATGCTTGCAAGCCGAGACAAGGAATATAACCGTCTACCTGATGTATGCCAAGCAGGTTCATAGGCCTGCAGTCAGCCCAAGACACCCTCACTACTTTCTTTCCCAGTGCAGCCCTCCTTACCAAGGACAAAAGCCATGGCATGTCTCCTGAGAGTTTGATAAACCCAGCTAGAATTCACTTCCTTAGCCACAAAAACCTCATTTTTTTTTCTCTTTTAAAGACTGTGTGGGTTTGGGTGTGCACGTCTGCTGTGGAATGCAGGTGAAGGTCCGAGGGCGACTTGCAGATCCAAATGTTGCGATCAATGTCATCGTACCTCTCACTTTGGGGCTCTGGTCTCCGGGTGTTGCATTTTGGAGGACTTTCTGCATTATGATCCATTTTATGCCTTTTCCTAAGAAAACTATGCCTGAGTCTTCTTAGGAAAATCCTAAGATTAACACTATCTGGCCCTATTTGGAAGTCTTCCTTATGCCCTGGAGATTAAACTCAGATAAGAACATTGCTAGATAAGGACATTACTCCAGAAATCTTCTTGGGGTATCTGCCCCTTCGAAAACTTAAACAGTGTAACTGGTGCAGGGTAAACAGAGACAAGTGACTACCTCTGGCCAGGAGAACAGGTTACAAATTCAAGTTCTTTTTATTATACGCTTAGAGCTCTCTGAAAATGTAGTTTAAAGACCGAGGGTCATTAATGACAGGGTGTGTCATTTACAGGGCGCCCCCGGAGAAATAAAACTCAGCAAATATGAGACTGACTAAAATAAACTTTCCTACTTTATGGTGTAGACGATGAAACATGCAGTGTAAGAAGTCAGGTATTTGTACTTGCTGTTCATAAAAAGACTGGTTCAGATATTTTCTGTTTGTCTGGAGTGCTTTCAAACTGCAAACACTGCCAGACTAAAAACAGGCTGTAACAAATACATTTGCTTTGGAGAAGAACATTCTTTAGATTCTTTAAATTGGAGCTATAGGGCTGATGATAAAGAAAATCTGTTCTATTTGTACTTTCTAATTGTGATTGAACTTGTAACCCTGGACATGTAATGAAAAGTCAAACACATAACCTGTACTCCTTGGATAATCATTAGTCTGTCTTTGTTCTGTGAGACCTATCTAAACAAAAAAGCACCTGATTGCTAGTCAGTCAGAGCTCCGAGATTCCCCGAAGCTCCCATGCTTTACTCCCTCTCCCCACTACTGCCTCCTTCTCTCCTCCAAGGGCCCCTGTCAGCAACATGTGACCCCCCTTCTCAGGCAGGTTCTCCTTCCACGTGGGTTCTGGGGCGCAAACTCAAGTTGTCAGGCTTGGGGTCGGCACCTGCTAAACCTCCCCATCAGCCCAACTTGTCTTTATTTCACAGGTGCTGGGATCCGAACTCAAGTCTTCATGTTTGGGCAGTGGGTGCTCTTACTCACTGGGGGAGACTCTGCCCCAGTGAGGGAAAATCAGGGGCCGGCGAATTGCTCCCCTCTAAGTATTTGTAGGATAAATCAAAGTACTATCCAACACCATGCATAATGCAGTAAGTTAGGAAATAATTTAAGCTAATATTGTGTAACCCAAATTTGCCCTTTCAAATAGTGGGCATAACCCAGGCATGGTGATACATGTTTGCTGAGTGAGGAGGATCATGGGTTCAAGGCCAGTCTAGGCTAGATGGTAAGGTGAGGTCTCAGACAAAGCAAGCAGAGAACCAGGTAGTTCAGACTCTGGAGTGGCTCACCTGAGGTTCCTCAGCAGCAGGGCGGGGCCTGGGCCCCGTGACTATCTGAGACAGTCTCATTCTGTTCCCATCAGGGTAACTGGATGCAAAGGAACATTCGTCTCCCAGAGCACACTGCTCTCACACCTCTCCCACATATATTACTCAATCCAGTCTGTCAGTCTAGATATCAGGATGGACTTTATTAAAGTAGCTTCAAATCTCCCTTCATCTCATTCTACTAGCTACCCCGCTACGGCTACGAAGGCGTTGTTTCTATCGGATGTGGATGGGATGGAAAAGGAAACAGTATGGTCCCACTGAAGTTACTCTGCAGACGTCACCATGCATGGTCCCAACCCTGAGTCCCTCTCATCAGGGCAATTTGTTCAGGGAGCAATGGTGCTACCCTAAGAGCATTGTAGGTCAGCTGCCATCTCCTGAGTTCACTGGTCACATTTGTCACTGTGATCATAAGCAAGCTATCAGTGGTAGTCAAAGGTAGACAAGAGGCAAAGGCTATTGAGGGAAAACCCTCTATTGCACGGTTTCGGAATGACATGTGAAATGCTCAATTTGTTAAAGTGCTCAAGTACTTTTTTTTTTTTCTCTCTAAAGACAGGGTCCCACCTTGTGGCCCTCACTGGCCTGGAACTCCTTTGTAGGCCAGGCTGGTCTGGAACTCAGAGCTCCACCTGCCTCTGCATCTCAAGTGTTGGGATTAAATGCATGTGCCACTACATCTGTTGCACGCTCTAGTACATTTTTTAAAGGATACTTGGGAAGGTGTCTGCTGGTGAGAAAGCAAAGTAGAAGCTAACAATCTGGAAAGAAACGACAAAAAGACGTATAGAACCAACACTGCCAACAGTGAGGGAGAGGCCTCTTAGAGCTTGGCCTGCCAAGTACTTGAGCTCTTGAATCAAACACACTCCTAGCTGGAAGCTCCCTTTCCTCTGGAAGCTTCCTTTCCTCCTCATAAAGATGAAGTAAAAGTTATTAGGTTATTTTGCTCCAACTCTTCTCCCACTAATATAATCTCAAGTCAGTGGTTTCCTCACTGGCTATCAATACAAAAGGGCCATTTAGGTTAAGTGCTCAAAAGTATGACGTTCTCTACAGTCTGTTTAATGCCTGGATTGAGAAACTGAACTTCCAAATACACCAGGCGAGGCCCACACCCAAGACTAAGGGGCTCATGGCATATAGACTCTCTTGGAATGATGATTACACAACCCAGGACTGAGGTGGTGAAGGGCGAGAATTCAGCAGCAGTGGCAGCGGCTGTCTTGTCCTTGCAGTCATTTGTAAGTCCAGTGGGCAGTGGCCCAGCCCTGTCCCTTGCATAAGTCTCGATGGCGAAGGTAAAAGGCATGGACACGGAACCGGCGGCCACAATGGGGACATGCATGCAGAGCTCTAGCGTGGGTCTTCATGTGCTCCGTCAGATGGTGCTTCAACTTGAAGCGTTTGTTACAGATACCACATCCAAAGGGGCGAAGGCTGAAGGTCAGCATGATGTGCCGGTCTCGTTTTGGCTTCACTGCAAACCGTTTTCCACACAGGCAACCGAAGCATTTTCCATCTGCAGGCGGTGCCCCTCCTAGCTTCACAGGCCCATGCACAGCCTGCCCTGTTCCTCCCGGTCCTCCACCCCCAGACAGGATTTCATTCCCGTGAAGGTCCACCGGTTTCCAGGATGCATCTCCTGCCCCCAACGTTTCCCCTCCTCCAGAGGACAGCAAGTACCTTAGCTCCCCGTTTCCCTCCGAGTCCCCTCCTGGCAGAACTTTGGTCTTCTCCTTTGCTCCTCCAGGTGGAGTCCCACCTCCTGAGGTCACCTCCTTAGAGTCCAGGGTCTCCTGATTAACATATATGATTTGGGAAGCTCGAACAGGAGGGGCAGGAGCCTCAACTGTTGGACTCTCCTCCTCTGGAGGCCTGCTGGGGAGAGCAGATGTAGGCAGTGGCTGGGACCCACAAGCTTGGGGAAACCCTTCTGATACACTCTGGGCCTGAGGAGTCGGAAAGAGCGGGGCCGCTGAGCCCTGCTCCTCCTCCTCCTCTTTCACCTGAATCTGTAACACTTCTTCCAGTTCACTCCCCTCCGCTCCGAGGGGGCTCTCAGCAGAAGCAGAGGACCTCACTGGGTTCTGGAAAGGGGAAGAGCGAATGCACCAGCCTCCGGAAGAGGTTGTGGAAAGCAGTGTGTGGTAGGAGGCTCCACCACCGGCCGAAACGCCACCGGACGTTTCCAGTTCTCGAAGAATCTCAGAGCACTGATCTACTACCTGCCACATCTGAAGGCCACTGGCTACTAGGAGATGGGCAGGGAGAGCATCCAGTGGCAGGCGGAGGCGCCCTGAATAAATGAGCTGAAGCAGTCCCTCGAAGGCGTCTGCCTCAATGACACTCGGCAAGGTGAGTCGGGGCGCATCCCCCAAAAGCAGCTTGTCATGGAAGTAAGGCGAGGCGGCGGCCAACACTGCTTTGTGAGCCCTGAGCTCCCTGCCCTGAACCAGGACGGACACATCACAGAACTTCCCCTCCAGCCTGTGGCGGTTCAGGGACTCCAGCAGCGAAGAGCTATGATGAGGGAACTCAATGTGGATTGTGCGTGGGGCCGGGTTGCACCTCGGGGAAGGGGATGCGGGAGGTAAAGGAGTCGAAGCATCCATGGTCACCTCGGAAAGAAATCCCAGGGGGCCGGGAAGAGTAGGGCTCTCTACGGGAAGGAGGCTGCGGAGGAAAGTCACTGGGGCCACACAAGTTGGCGGTGTGAGACCTGGCTCAAGCGGCTCCCCACCGACACTTGGAAACTCTTCAGTGGCAGTTCCTGGACATTACTTCCGCCCACCACGAAAACCGACCAAACCCCCACCGGGGTTTTCACTTCCAGGCCCCGCGGAAGCCGGGGACGGGATCGCGCCCACCTCGCCAGCACGGGCCGCTCCCCGCCGCCGCTCGCCCCGCCTCACCGTGCTCACACAGGCCGGCTCCGCGAGCTCCGGCCCCGCGCCTTCCCGCCGACACGCCCCCGACCGCACGCGCGACCGCGTCCTCGCTCCTCGCCCTCCACGGCGCCCGGCCGGCCGGAAGCTGCCGCCGCTCCGCCGGACGCCGCAGCCGCCGGGCGCGCAGGGCGGGGCCAGGCCTGCAGCCAATGGGAGGGCGGAAGCGTACAAGCCCCCTCCTCATTGGCTGGGCGGCCGGAGGGGCGGGGCTGAGGCGGCGGGCCGCCCGAGCGTCGCTGTGGGAGACGTGTGGGTCGAGGACCGGTCGGCGGGCTCCGGGCGAGCCGCGCTCCGCAGCGCGGTGCGGGGCTGCTGTCCCGCCGCGCGAGGTAGGTGCTGCCGCCCTCGGTGTACACGCGGGGCAGGCAGGCCTGCAGCCCGGGCGCACGGCTGCCGAGGACCGCGGTTCCCTCCTCCGGGTCGCGGAGGAGCGTCCTCACAGCTCAACCCGACCGGTACCGCGGGGGTTTGGTGAAGACCGCTGCTGGGAGTCTTTGAGCGCCTTCGGGTCGCGTGCTGCGGCGGGTGGAGAGCGGCAGTCGGGGTTTGGTCGGGAAGCCTCTGCGGTATATATTGTTCTCCCGACTGGGTGGGACAGTGTCAGTGCAAGAAGACAGGCGTGTGACAGCTCGCGGGCTGGCAGCCTTCTCCCAAAAAAGTAGTTCCTGTCACCCCTCAGGTGGGCCTGGAGACCCCGAGCTAAAAGTCAGCCTAAAGCCTGGCTAGGCGGCGCACGCCTTTAGTTCCAGCACTAGGACCAACCTGGTCCACAGAGCGAGTTCCAGGACAGCCGGTCTCGAAAAAAGCAAAAATAAATAAAAGTGAGCCCAGCGATAAAAGAACAATCTCCGTTTATTAAACATGATTTTTCTGTTTCACCACACACTCCAGAAAAAAAGGAAATGGGGCTGGGCGTGGAGAAAAGGGGGCAGTGGTAGGGGAGCCGAGAGGCTGGGGGTAGGGGCGGGAAGAAGGACGAGTAAACAAACGACAAAAAAAGAAAAATAGGAGTAAGAAGAGCGTCTCCCTACTCTTAAGGTGGTGGGGGGGGAGGGGAGGGGGGGGTGGGGATAGGAGCCAGGAAGCTCTGTACAGAGGGTTCGCCTCCCAGCCCCCTCCCCCAATTATGTACAGTACAAACCCCAGATAATTACAACAGCCAAAGAGGAGGAAGGAGGTCCAAGGGCAGGGCCTGAAGTAGGGAGAGCAGAGGAAAGGGTACGGGATAAAATTTCACATATTTACAGCTTTTATATAAGTATAAATTTGGCCCCGGCTGGGTGGGTATGTGTAGAGGATTAAGGTTGAAGGAGAGCTGTCCATACAAAAGAAAGGTCGAGTCTGGAGTCTGGGAAGAAGTCTCAATACCAAACGCAAGAAGGAGTGAGGAGACAAGGCTGGGTAGGGGACAGCAGTCAGAGAAGAGGGGGTACCCAGGAGGGGTTTCTCCCCTTCCATGGCCTACCCACCCCAAACCCCATCCATCCTACCTCCCCTATCCCGCCAGAGAGCTATGTACAGAGAAACACCGAAAGTGGAGCTGGCGGGAGGGAAGGAGACTGGGTAGGGTGAGAGGGAAGCCCAGCCCTGTCCTACCTCCCCCAGGGGACAGAGTCATGTAAGGGGGCCCCCAAATACCCATCCTCCAACACAGGTCCCCCCACCCTGGGGGAGAGAGACATGGCTTTTCCTAGAATAAGTTCCCCCCTCCCCATGGGAGTAGAGACAAGAGAGGGAAGGGTAGAGAGCACGGCTGTGTCAGGGGCAGGGCAGACCAGCTTGTCTGACCTCTGCAAGCCAACACACGCGCCCTCGACCCTAACCCCTCATCCAAACCTCAGTTCCACCCCACCCAACACACTGGGGGAGGGGGGGGGCATAAGCCCCCTCACCCCGCTCTGGGACCAGCCAAGAGCAGATCAGGTGTGGGAAGAAGGGGAGGCGACTCCCATTCCCCCCTTGCCGCCCCCTCCCTGCCCCGGTGGCCCCCTCCACCCCATCTGGGTTATGGGTGGGGAGAGGAAATGTAAGAGTGGAAAGAGGAGAAGGAGTTTGTGCGTGCTGAGCCCCCCCCAGACGCTCCTGAGAAATCAAGGGGTAATAGGGCCCCCTCACCCGGGGTCCCCTCCCCAAACAAGGGGGACAGGGGAGGCCAAAATGGGGTGGTGGAGGGGGAGTTAGATTGTCAGCTCTGGTCACTGCTAAAAAATCACCCTGAAGTTGAAAGTTTGGAGGTGCCACGCCCCCAGTGTGGGGGTGAGGGTCTGTCCCCCAGTGCTCAGGGGAACTATGAGGCAGAGGATGGGGATAGCACCCCAGAGTGAAGGGGTCTGTGTGGGGTAGGTGGTGTCCTGGGGTCAAAGAGGGCAGCTAGGAGTGGAGCAGTGCAGGCGGCAGATGGGTGCCCCAAGGAGGCATCCAGGGAGGCAATCCCGCTGTCCCTCGCTGGCGTCCAGTCCTGGTGGTTGGTTGGTGATGTTCTGGGGTGGGTGCACAAGGAAGGAGGTCTGTGGCGCTGGGTGGGCTAGTGGTCTGCGGTGTTCCGGAACTCGCCGTTCTCTGTGATCTGCAGCCGGGGTGGGGGGGGTGGGGCTGGGGGGGCCAGGCCGTTCCAAGGTGGGGCCAGAGTCACACGCGGGTTTGTTGGACCCAAGGGGGGAAGCTGCCTCTCCTGCAAGATACCAAAGAGGAGAGCGCGGACTTATTGAGACGCTTCGTGGGGGCCAGGATGCCAGCCCCAAGCCGTGCTCTCACCCACAGCCAGCCCACTCCACAGCCATGTCCGCCCCCTCCTGTTTTGTTCTCACCTCCACAGAACCTCACCCCAACTCCTAACAGGAGTCTTCAAACCAGACTCCCACCAGGACACCAGCTCAAGAGCAGCTAGTTCTCGCTTTCCCTGAGACATAACTCCAGCTTCAGGAGCTGTGTACTCCCTACCCCTGCCCAGCCCCCCTTCCATGGAGTACCTCCCAGCACCCTCCACCCCAGGCAGGAACTTCACACTGAGGAACCAGGGGAGGCAGCACAGTAAAACCTCATTAGTCAAAACCCTACAGCTCCAGAAGTTTGTTCATAATCTGAACAAAACCAGGGCTTGAGTTTTCCTTTATCCGTGAAGAAAGGTTGTGCTAAACAAGTCGGTGGAAATGTGTCTGTGGGAGGGAGACTCAAGCCACACAAACAGACTTCCTTCATTATGCCATGCTCCCTGAGGGCCTGTGCAGAGGCCTGTGCAGAGTTCTACTTACTGTGTTTTGAAGACAGGCATTGCACTAAATAGAGCCTGTCATTCAGTTTTGTCAGTTATCCAGAGTGGACCTCTCACATATATCATCCCCAGTTAGAGAGGTTTAGCTGTACTGGAAACAGGACGGGGGTCGGGGAAGGGTGTTCCTGCATCCTCACACTCGGGGGGATGGTTCAAAGGTTTAGATCAGCGGTTCTCAACCTCCCTAATGCTGCGACCCTTTAATGCAGTTCCTCACTTGGTGACCCCAACCAGAAAATTACTTCATTGCTGCGTTGTAACTGTAATTTTGCTAGTTATGAACCATATGTAAATATCTGATGGGGCACTCCACAGGGGTCACGCCCCATCCACAGGTTAAAAGCCACTGGCTTAGAGACACTGTGCTCCAGTCTGTATTCCCAGTAGTCTGACTTCAGCTCTTCTCCACAGATGTGCAGCTGGAGTAGCAGACCCTATGCTACTCCTGTGCCTATTTTGAGAACCTTCTGTGGCTCTTTCCCGACTTCCTGGTTCGTGCTGTTAGCCTAGCCTTCTGTGCCTCTGCTGGGGGAGAAGACCTCCTGGCCCCCACACTTCTGGACATGTACTTGGCTTTTAAAAATCTAGCTTCAGACTAAGCAGCTGAGCTGCAGTGGGGTCAAAGCCTACAAACAGTTTGGAACACACGTCAAGACCTGTCTGAGCCACTAGACGTTTAGCTGGCAGCATGTAGCTGTCTGTATCTGACCCTGTCTCCAAAGGACACAAAGAATGAAGGCTTCCAAGATCAGCTTTCTCCTCCATACCAGAATCACAGACTCACCTGATCCAGGGCCGCCCAAAACATAACCTTAGTCAAAGCTGCCCTTTTCGCTCTCTGGGTACCTCACAGCCAGTCAGTGGGTGAGGAGATTAAATGGAGTAGGATACCCTGAGTACATGCAGCAAGAGAGCAGGGGGAAGAACCCTCAGATCGCCTCCACTCTGCTTGTCTGCTCATGACGACACATGGGCATGCCCCCTACGCCCTCATGAACCCAAATTTAGAAGCTGGATAAATTAGGGTGCCGTTATTCATCTTACAAAAGAGTTCACTGCAGGGGTCCTTTAGATGGTGAGGTTCCCTGGCGTCTTTCAGCATTTGTTTGCAGATCACTAACTACTTTGACAGAGAGGCCCGGCCAGGCAAAGAGTAAAAATTACAGTGTAAGGAGCCGCTGCCCGCTACAGGTCAGCCCCGCAGAAAAGTGTCTTGGGACAGGTGTACCCGACAGCTTCCCGTTTGCTGGTTTTTAGATAGGATCGTGTCCCCTGAGAGGCTACTGGGTGGCAGGAGAGGGGAACGAGGGTCATTTGACACACTGTTCCTGGTGTCCCTGCCTGGCACTAGGGCTACTGAGCCCTGGAGTGCATGCTAGGGAGCTGTTTCTCCTCCCTTCTCACTCACAGGCCACATGGGTAAGTGCAGCCTGACACGTGTCCAAGACTCCTGTCTTGCTTGCTTACGCCACCCACTGCGGTCACTGTCGGAACATCTCAACAGCATCTTTTCCAGGGCCTGTTAGAACGGCCCTGGGTTAACTGCCCATCCCCAACTTCCCCCAGGAGTAACTGAGGAAGGCTCGGCTTCCATCTGCTTCCCAGGCGCAAGAGAGAGCAGAGGAGTGAGCAGGCGGGGACTGAGAGTCAGGAAAGGACAGGAGACCCCAGCCTGCCTGCTTCAGTCAGCACAGCCCTCCAGCCTGACCCCAGCCCAACATCCCCCCACCCTCCCACATCCCAACTCCCCAGGACGCTCGGTGAAATGGGGGGTGACAGACAGACACCGGATAGGTAGAGGAAAAGGAGGGTGGTGTCAGGAGATGGATGGTGGGGCCGGTGTGGAGAACTGGGGAGCCTGTACATGTCTTTCTAAGCGTCCACACTGGTACTGTTAGAGCATCAAAGGGTAGGTGTGGGTTGTCAGCAGGTGCGCTCTGGCTGTCCACTGGGAAGGTGTCAGGAGGGTGGGGTCTGTGCAGGAGGGTCTCTGGGTGTGGTAGGCTGCAGTGAGAGGGGAGAGGCTCCAGAGAGTTGGAGGGGGTGGGCTTCACCACCAACCTGCAGTGGTCCGGAGTCACCTCCCCCAGTGTCCTCCGCCCGTGGTCAAAGCGGAACCAGGAGAATTACCTGATGAGGAGCTGCAGGGGGAGAGAGTGGGGTCATGGGATCAGGAGGTTTGGTGGTGGTGGCAGGGAGGCCTGGTGGTCAGAGCAGAGCGGGGGAGCATGGAGAGGTTAAGAGCAGAATCTGAGGAAAGCAGGGGCAAGGGTGCAGAAGGGCCTGGAAGCTGGCTGTGAGCAGAGGGGGTGGTGACAGACTGTAGGTTCGAGGAACACCAGAGGCCAAAGGCTGAAATTGAACTATGGGAAGGGTCTCTGGGGGAGGCCTTTAGGATCTGAAGCGTCAGACCTACCAAGGAGTCAGAATGGGAAGTCAAGAGAACCCTGAGTCTCTAGGGTACCCAGTGCTGGACAAACTACAGCTCAGATTACACTCTGCTCCGTCCTGTCAGTAGAGCCTCCAGCCTTCCTGGCTAAGAGGAGCTGAGGAAGCAGACAGGAGTGGGCCAGCAAGAGGCAGAATTCAAGGGCTTGGGGCAGGGGAGCTGAGAGGCTGAGGCTCTGGTGAAGGTCCTGAGATGCAGGCAAGAGTTGGAAGGCAGGACAGGAAGGCACGGGAGTACAGCTGGCAGTGCCAGGAGTGACAGAGGCACAGACAATGGGATGCGGGTGGTTCACGGGGGGGCTGCAAGAAGGAAGCAGCCAGTAGACAGACTGAGGAGACAGGAGACAGATGGGGATGGGGCCGCAGTGGCTGGTGCAGTGAGTGCACAAAGACAGTGGGATGGATGGGGATGGGACACGGAGAAGATAAATGACATTGTAATTTCCACCTGAGCGTCGAGCAGCCTCTTCTTGGGTTCAGGCAGCGGCTCAGCCATGGCGGGGTGGTCCCGACGTAGCTCCTCCTCCACCAGCATCAGCCTGAAGGGACGAGCTTCAGTGGGGTTAGTGGCGGGCACGGACTCACAGCCCACCTGTGGCACTCCTGACCCCCGGAACCCCTGCAGCTCTGGAAAAACCTTGGACATTTCCCCCTCCTTAACAGAATTCCTCTGTTGCCATGATCCAGAAGATGCCCTGACACCAGAGTCTTGCTTTCCACTTTCTCCCAGAGCTCCTCGTGCCAGTTCTCTGAGGGACTGTCTAAAGACGTGCATCTACTTATTCACTCATTCTTTCATTTGGCTTTTTGGCACAGTCTCACAGTGTGGCTTTGGCTTGCCTGGAACTCACTGTGTAGATAAGGCTGACCTTAATCTCTGAGATCTGCCTGCTTTTGCCTCCATAGTGAGAGAATTAAAGGGATGGGTCACCACACTCTGCTTTTTTTTTTTTTTTAATTTTTTGGTTTTTCAAGACAGGGTTTCTCTGCGTAGTGTTGGCCATCCTGGAGCTCACTCTGTAGACCAGGCTGGCCTTGAACTCACTGCCCAACCTATGTTTATTGTTTTTACCTGTGTGTATGTGTGCACATGAGTGCAGAAGCCCGAGGATCAGATACCCTGAAGCTAGCTACAGACACAGACAGTTGTGAGCCACCTGGTGTGGGCGCTGGCAGTGTAACTCGGATCCTCTGCATGAGCAGTGTGTCCTCTTACGCATTTGAGTCATCTCTCAGACCCATGAAAGTAGACTTGACTTCTCCCATTTGCTTTTGTCAGACAGTCTCACATCGTAGCCAAGGGAACCTTGCCCAGATGCACTGTATGTAGCCCAGGTTACCCTCCTGCCCCAGTCACATGGGTACTCCTGGATTCTGAGGTTAGATTTTTGTCTTGTTTGTTTTTGAGACAAGGTCTCTCTATGCGGCCCTGGTTGTCCTAGCACCCTTCTGTGTAAACCAGGCTTGCCTTACACTCACACAGGTCAATCCGCCTCTGCCACCTGAAAGCCGGGATTAAAATTGTACACAACTCAGCAGGCGGTGGTGGCGCACGCCTTTAATCCCAGCACTGGGAAGGCAGAGACAGGCAGATCTGGAAGTTCGAGGCCAGCCAGGTCTACAGAGTGAGTTCCAGGACAGCCAAGGACTACACAGAGAAACTCTGTCTTGAAAAACCAAAAGAGTGTGCACAACTATGCCCAGCTAGATTTGTGTGTCTCAAAGACCCCTGTCAGCTAGAGACTCCCCCCCCCCCCCAGCTCAGCCATCCCTCCTAGAGATGCTATGTGGCAGATTTAGCTTCTGTGCCCAGGCCATGCTAATGAACCACACTGCTCCTCAGTTGTCGGTGAAGGCTCTCGTCCCTGTCTCCTAAGCTAGCAGTCCCTAGCAGTGGTTCCAAATGTCTCAGGTGATGGAGAAACCATTTTCTTTTAAATCTCACTTAAAAATGTGTACAACAGATCAGAGTGGGGCTGGCTCTGGCCTCTGTTGAGAGAGTTCCTTTGGAGCAGTGACAAACTAAGAGCCTATTTCTCATGGAATCCCTTCCCGAGGATGGAGAGGGAGCTCTGCCCAGGGACAGAGGAGTGGTTCAGAGCTCCTGTGGCTAGGGACTGCTGCTTAGCTTTGTGGGGAACCTCACAGGCTGGATTAAGAATATGAGGTAGGGAGGCGAGGCCTAAGCTAAGTCCAGACAGGAATGGTTAGACAGTAATTGGCCTGTTTCCCCAGGGCTTCAGAAGTTAGTGAGCACCACTGGAGCTTGGTGAGGGATCGTTCAGTGCCTTGAGCAGGTTCTTCCCATCCGCCCTCCCCGCCCTCCCCGGGCCGCCCCTCACCTGCCAATGATGCTCTTGATCTGGGAGTCCTTTTCCACCTGCTGCTGCCTGAGGCGCTTCTCACTCTGCTCCAGGCGGGCTTGGTACTGCATCAGGATCTTGCTGGTCTGTTCTTCCTGGGACAGCAGCCTCCGCTCGTACTCTTCCAGCTTCCGGTTGGACATGTGTAGCCTCTCCTTCAGCGAGTGTATCTCCTCCTCGTACTCCTTCACCTGCCCGCCGGGCACATGACCCCGCACTGTGAGGGGCGCCCAGCCTTGGCTTTACCAGCCTGATCCCATCCCTGTCAGTTCAGCCATGGCATGGCACAAAGAGTACCTGATCCTTTCTCTGCCTGTTGAACACACTTGATCTGCTTTTAAGAAAGCTCTGATGTAATACTGAGGCTTCCTCAAGATGGAGCAAGGTCAAAGTCTCACACCTTAAAAGTGTGTCATGCCCTCACACATGCATGGGGAGTATGGGGGCCCCAGAGTGCACTCTGGCAAGACTGCTGGACAAACTTGAGAAGCTTCTCTAGAAACTAAAGACAAAGGGACTGTAGTTTCAAACCGAGATTGAGCACATGGAGGGGCAGGAAAAGATGCAGGGTGAGGCGGGGCCAGGTGCTGTCTCCTGTGTGACTCCCTGCAGACAGGAGGTCAGAGGGTTCCCGGGCTGAGAATGCAACTATTAATAGGAGTCTGGGATTCCAGGGCCAGAAGAGCTCACACCAGTCACTTCATTTCCCTGTTGCTTACTATAGTAGCCACTTGTAGTTCTTTTATGTTTGTTTGTTTGTTTTTCATTGCTAGGGATCAAACCCAAAGCCTCAGTAGTAAGCTCTACCCCCGGCTTATATATAGCTATTTAAAGGTTAAATAACTCTAAAATTCCAATTTCTGAATTGCAACAACATTCACATCATCTAGGGAGCCACTAGCCATCGGCAGTGTGTATTCCCAGCCTATTTTCACTTCCAACAGCTCTGGTGTATGGTGTACAGCGCTGGACTGGGGCCTTCCTCAACAAGGGTCCCTCATCTGAAGCCTGGGCGAGAGGCAGGCTGAGAAGCACTCACCACCCTCTCAGGGGCGTGCATAAGCAAGGCACAGGAGAGGGGCATTCTTGGGGCATGAGTTGCTCAACCCTCTAGTGAACTTGCTGATAACTAGGCCTCATGCATTCTAGGCAAACATTCTACCATAAACTATATTCCACAGCTTTCTTTTACTTTTTATTTTGAAGCAGGGTCTCATTAAATTGCCCAAGCTGGCCTTGAACTTTAACATTCTCCTGCCTTAGCCTCCTGAGTGAACTGTTGTTCACAGGTCTGTGCTGCCAGGCACATGCTCTAATCCTGCAGCCATTCTCTTCCTCAGAGCTGAAATAAATTGTTCTCTCCAATCTATAGCCTATATAACCCCCAAAAGAACTCAGGCAAGGCTGAAAGACACAGATACCTACCACCCGTAACAGACTGGAGAAGTCTGCCTGCCTTTCGTTTTTACCCTACTGTCTGAGCATGGGTGTCTTCCCCTTGGAAGGTCTGAAGCCTTCCCTGGGGCTCAGAGGGCAAAGCCAGCGTACCCTGTCCAGCCGGCTCTCGTCCATCGATTTTGAGTACTCCTTGAGCTTGTACTCTTCCCTCTCGATGTGAGCGCTCTAAATGTCGGCCGACAGGTGAGGCATATTGGAGACCCAGGCCACAGTCCGCTCTGAGGCCGGCATTGTGGGGTTCAGTGTGGATGGAGTCTGGGAATGCTGAGGCAAGCAAGGGGGGAAAGGGGGCATGTATTTAGAGGATGAAAACACAGAAATGACACCCCAGACCTGTTCCTCTGCCTTAGCTCTTCTCTCATCTGAGTATGAGTGAACGACCCTGCCTCTCGTGGGGGTAAGTGCTGAGGGTAGGGTCCCCAACTGCCCATCTACACATCCTTGGTGCCTGAACTGTTCATGGGACACTACTGAGGCCCTCTTCTTATGCTTGTGAAATGTTTTCTTTGTTTAGAATGTCACTACCTAGCCCTAGCTGGCCTCAACTTGCAATCATCTTGCCTCCTGAAGGCTGAGAATACCGGCCAAAGGCCACACATTTGTTCAGTGAACAAAGGAGGCGAGAACACTGTAAACCAGACTGCACTGTTCCCTCTCTCCTCTTCACCCACCCTACCTCCCCATACCCTCACCTACCTGCTTGGTGATGGAGGGCTTGAGCCCCCCACCCCCTCCGCCACCGCTGCCCCCGCTGCCCCCAATGCTGCCCTCTTTGCTGAGGCTCTGTTGCCGTGGACGGGCAGGACCATAACTTGGCTCCGGGGACTGCAATAGGTTCCCGCTGGATGGCCGGGGTTTCTGGGCAGCGCTCACTGTCAACTGTTGAGACTTGCCCCTCTGTAAGGGAGGCGGCTGGCCCCCCCCACCCCCACTGCTGCCCCCACCACTCCCACCTCCGGGCCCTGAGGGAGCTGGCCTCTGGGGACCGATGGTGATCTGGGGAGGGGATAGCATGTGCTGTAGGTTGTCCTGAAGTGAGAGCTGCCGACGGGTAAAATCAGTACCAGAGGGTCCAAACTCATCACTGTAGCTGTGGCTGTGAAGGATGGAGGCGGCAGGGGGCTTAGGGACCCCTGAAGAGAGGTCCTCGCTCTTGCTATAGCCATGGAATGGGGCAAAAGTGTCCCCTGGGGGCTCTCCGCCTCGGTGGTGGTGATGGTGGTGGTGGTGGTGATGGGAGGAAGGTGGACCATGACCACTGCTCCCTCCGTGGCCCCCTGGGGGCCCTGGCCCATCAGCAGCCATGTGGAAGAGAGGGTTCTGGAAGGAAAGGGGGATGCGCAGTTGCTGGGCAGGGACACCATCCGTGGTGACGCCCATCTGGCTGAGGCGCATGCCAGCTGCTGTGATGGACGAGCCACTGCCTTGGGAGAGGCGCCCGGCAGGTGCAGGCCGCAACCCCAAGGCTGCTGTCAGTGAGGCCTGGCTTGAGTGCAACAAGTCCCCAACGGCTGCCAGGTTGGAAACACTACTACTGTTAAGGCGGCCCCCGGGCCCGTCACCCTGCAGGTCCAGCATGGACACACTCTTGTTGACACTCAGCATCTTCTGCTCCGGCTCTGTGATGTCCGAGCTGCTTGTGCAGTATGCTGGGGATGAACGGGCCAGCGGCGGCCGGCTCACATAAAACAGGTCTTTACCCCCACCGGGTGGCGGCGGTGGTGGCTTTTCCTTGGTTGGGGAGGGGAGGCGAGCCATGTCCATAGAGCTGTTGGAAGGGAAGGAGGACACACAGGCAGGAGTAAGGCCAGGACTACAGGCACCCGAGCCTTTCCTCTGGTGCTGGCCTTAGGTGGAAAGTGGGACCCACAGGGAAGGGCTGAGAGCTACTGGTGGCAGCCCTGAAGAGGCAGGCAGGGAGGATGGGAGAGGAAGTTGGAGAAGGGAAAGGACAGGCCTAGAAAGGGCGCAAGGCCTGGAGAAGAGGGTGGGGCAGCAAGAGAGCAGTGAGGGCTGGTCTGGGCAAGTATGGAGGAGATGAGGTGCAGTGAGGAGGAGAGGAGGAGAGGAGCAGAGAGGCGGGTGGAGGCCAGTGAGGCAGGACGGGAGGGTGGGGAGGACAGAGCCCTCACCTGTTGAGGCCTCGAGCCATGAAGGACTGAAGGTCGATGGAGCTGGAGAGAGATGCAGAGGGGCAGGCACAGACAGGAGAAGGAGAGCAGTGTGGACAGATGATGGGGGAATGGTGGGACAGGTGTGTCACAGAGGAAGACATGGGTGAGGGACAGCAGAGCAATCACAAAGTGAAGGACAGTGGCCGAGCCCCCCTCCCCCATCAAACTGGACGGTGGGCTCCAGGGCCCACTCAGCTCCAGCTGCTTCTCTGTATGGCGGATCACAGAGCTGTCTGGGTTAAGGTGGCAGGCTGGGGTGGGGGGTGCCAAGGCACTCAGAGACACCGGTTAGTTTGACACCACATGGCTGCACCTCAGCCTAAACACAAGCATGGGCTGGCTGCAGCAGGGCCCCTTTGGCTTCAACTGAGCCTGGAGCAGAGCAGCCTCAGTACTGCTGGCCTCTGAAGAGCTCTCTGCCTGGCCCCTGTCTGTACCCTTCCCGCTGTCCCCTAGAACTTTGGGTTTTCCCCTGTTGGGGCCTGGAGAGATAGAGACAGGGCCCAGCGAGAAACCCCCAGAGCACAGGCGTGCGGGAGCAGGTGCTCACCTATTGAGATCCCGCATCATGTAGCCCTGCATCTCGGCTGATGGCCCTCGCAGCACCACGGGCTGAGGCCGAGTCCGTTCACTCTGGCGGCTTGGCTGCCTTTGGATGTTGGGGTTCCTCAGGGCTGTGCTGATGTCATTGAGGAGCCGGGGCAGTGGGCCCAGCTTCAGGAGGGCTTCCTGGAAGGACAAGACTGTCACCTGATGAGGAAGTGCCTCAGAGGGCATGGGTAGAGGCTGTGGTGTGCACTGGAAGTGCTGGTGACACGTCTGGGGACGGGAAGCTGAGAAGATCTCTGCAGAGAGGTAGTCTGTCAGGCCAGGTGCCTCTGGAAGTACCTTGGGGGCGCGACAGAAGGGACATCTACTGACCTTGCTGAGCTGGGGCAGCACCTCCCAGAGCAGGGCATGAAGTGTGGAGAGCTCTCGGCCCAAGTCTATGTAGCCCTCAAAACTGCTGCTGTTGGTCAGTGTGTCCAGGTTAGAGATCTCGTACAAGAACTGCTGCATGGAACCCCACTCCAGCTCCAGAAACTCATTCATGAAGCCCAGGAAGTCCTCCTTTGAGGTAAACCTGGCCAGGGGTACAGATGCCTGGTGACTCAGGAGACCCTTCCAGAAGCCCACAGCTCATCCCACCCTTCCTGACATTTCCCTCACTTGGAAAAGTTGGCCAGGTTCTGGATGACCTTGGCGATGAGGGTGAGGGTTCGTGAGGTCTGCTCATCTGGGTACTCCTGCATAAGCCCAAATAGACTGGGCGACATAATGGCTGGGCAGAGGAAGCGCAGGAAGAGCGAGGCGCTGATCAGCCTGTCAGCAATGTCCTCCCGGCCCCGCTCTGCGCAGCGCAGCCGCCAAGATGCAAACACCTCCTTCAGCTCCCTCGGGAACACGCTGGGGGGAAGGGGTGGGGAGACAGAGAGAGAAAGAGAGAAAGAGAGACCGGGACTGAGCCCCAGAGACCCTCAGCTTTCAGGGAACATGCTGAGGGGGTGGTAGGAGGTGAGGGTGTGGAGACAGGTGAGAGAGACTGGGAGGGAGGGACTGCAGGAGAAAGACAGGAGGAGGCCGCTGAAGAAGAGGCCATGGCAGAAGAGGGAACAGATTCTGGAGAGAGAAATGGAGAGGGAGAGAGGGCGAGGGGAGATAGACACGTGGGAGAGAGACGGAGGGGTGGGAGAGAGACAAGGAGAGGAGGAGAAGAAAAGCAGACACCGGGGAAGAGACAGAGATGGGAGAGAGATGGAGGGTCACTTGAGGTACAGGGAGCTCGGACCCCCCAACTCTTCTGGATTCCAGGGAAATGGGGATGGACGTGCCCCAGGCATGATCCCCAGTCCCTGGAATGGCTTGGCTCACTCTTCCCCGCCTCCCAGTGCCACTGATGTCCCAGTGACACCTTAAACTTGACTAGTGTAAACTAGAGCTCACCGTCGCCCCCACACCGCCAGCTGGCTCCTCCTTTTGACTTCCCTGGTTCTGTCAATGAGGCTATGGGTCTCCCCAGCACTAGTCTCATGACCTTTTGAGTCATCCTGACTCCCCGCACAGACAACCTCTCAGACAACCCCTGCCGATCCTTCCTGGAGAGGACCCTAATTAGGCACTCCCTTTCTAGGCTTTCTGACTCCACCGTGGTTTAAGATCGGGTTTTCAGGCCTGACCCATTAACCGTCACCACCAATGGTCTGGACTCTCTTTCCCTTTCCATACAGCTCACTCAACTCATGGGACAAGCTCAAGTCACGCTACTTCCTGGTGCCAGCACCTTTAAGGTCACCGCAAAACATTCTGATGACTGCAGACTCCCGAGTCCAACCAAGGCTTTCCAGATTCCCTGCTGTCCCAAGGCACACCTTGTTCCTCTTGCCTTCACTATAGCCATGTGCTCCACTAAGTCTGTCCCAGCTGCCAGCCATGTCCTGAGAGCCTCCAGGCCTTCTCACAGCCCTGGGAAATGTGCCTATTGTGTGCAAATGCCAGCCTCTGACCCCAGTCTTCAGAGTCCAGGCCTGGGCATCTCTTAGTTTTGACACAGCCTTGTCTTCTCTGACTTGGTGCTGCACAAGGGACCCTCCCTTAACACACATCACAATGGTTCTGTGGCTTTTAACGCATCTTGTGTCCCTACTCATTTTGGTTAGAAGCCCTCTGTGGTCAGGGACCAGGCCTTGTTCACCTCTCTCTGCTCTACAACACCTCAGAAAATGCTTTGCCCGTACTGATGCTTAGTCCTCTGAGGATGGACAGATGGATGAACAGATGAACACACAACTGCCCAACCCTGGCCCCCCAACCCAGCGTTCCCAGTCTCACCAATGGGAGTTGACCACCTTGCACAGGGCCAACTCACAGCACATCCGCAGGTTGGCCTGGTGCTCTGCCAGACTGGACGCGGTGCACTTGATGGGGTCCACTTCACAGTTCTCCTCAGATTCGTACAGAGCACGGATGAACTCCCCTGGGAGAGGGTGTACAACAGGGAGCGGTCACCCTTTCCCAGGGCAGGCACAGGGGCTCCCTGGGTTGGAGGAACGGCAGAATCAGATGGTTGGAGGTTGGGGTCCTGGGGCTCTGAGGAAGGTGGATGAAGGGTCTGGGTGGCCGGGTTTAGGGGTGGTGGGGTGGGCAAGGAAAGGTCCAGGACAAAGTCCTGAAGGTGGGCCATACCAATGGCATCCTTGAGGTACTTCTGGCCAATCAGTCTCATATACTCCTCTATGGCTTTAGTGGCGAGCGTGTTCTCGCGGAATATGAGGTGTTCCCGCTCCATGAACCGGTCTACCTCTGACATGGCCATGTCTGAAAGGAAGTCCTGGGGTCCAGGGAAACCCAGGCGTCAGCCTCTGCAGAGCCCGATCTCAGGAGTCTACCCTCTCTTCACTGCCCCCGAGCCAGTGCCCATCCTCAAGCCGGCTTTCCCTGGGACACAGTGCTCACCTTGGCCTTGCCTGTGCTCTGCAGTATGTGAACCAGCGCACTGGCAACCTCCTCCTTGCCCTTGACGTTCAGGGCAGGCTCCAGCACTGCACACAGCATCCGGTAATGGTTGGTGACATACTCTGCAAACTCCTTGTACAGCTCCATGGGCAGGATGCTCATTGTCTGGTAACGGGCTTTCAGCCTCACAGCAGGGCAGCCTCCTTTCCCCTTGCCCCCTGAGCCGCCCCCTGAGCCCCCACCTCCTCCCGAGCCCATGCCCCCAGAGCCCCCACTGCCTGTCGGCAAGGTCACAGGGTACCACTGCTCTGTGAAGTGGCGCCCAGCCAGGGTGGCCACCGGTACAGTCACCAGGCCAACATAGCCTGCCTTGTCCTTCTTTCGCTTTTTGTCTGAGTCACGGTATAGATGCAGCCGCAGGGCCCGGACGGCAGGCAGGTTGTTAAACTCGAAGTGCTCGCCCCAGAAGACCGTGTCTCCCGAAGCTGAGCGGGGCTTGGAGGTGGTACGTGCGTACAGCATGTCGTCCAGGCACAGCTCGCAGTAATAGCGCTTCTTGGGGGGTAGCTCTCGGGCCTCGATGATCCATAGTTTCAGCACGTTGTCTACCCGGCGGCTGTTGTCCTGGCACAAGGAAGCCGTAAGGGCGGGAAAAAGGGAAAGGACAGACACACAGAAGAGAGACAGTGAGCAAGTGTGACTGAAATGGCAGCCAGAAGGTGAACAGTACAACTGGACTTCAACAGTGCCCACCACGCGCAGAATTCTATCTTACTGTTTCTGGTTTCTGGAACAGTCTCACGAGGTAGCTCAGGCTGGCCTCAAATGAGCCCATGCACCTGAGTACTGGAAGGACATACACCACTACATCCAGCAGTGACCCCAAATTCTTGTCTCTCTAGAAACTGAGTGTGACTTTATGTGGAAACAGTGTCCTGGCAGATGTAAGACAATTAAGGTGAGGAGTGAGGACATACCTGATAAATGTCACCTCTTAATCCAGTGATTGGTCACTGGAGAGGGAGAGGGCCATTTAGAGACACACAGAAGGAAGGACTGAATTTAACGGCTTCAGAACCGGCATGGCCGTGTTTAGAGTGGACTCTAACTTCCTGAACTGTGAGAGAAGGGCTTTAATTGGCCCAGTTCATGGTGACTTTCTATAGCAGCCCTGGAAGCTGACCTTGTAGGTCAGCTTCTACACTGGGCAACAGATTAATGCTGGCAAATTCTGAAGCAACAAGTCAAAAACATTGGGGGCCAGCAAGATGGCTGACTTGGTGAGGCTGCGAAGCGTGAGCGTGAGCTCCAGAGCCCACAACAGAGTGGAAGGAGGGAACCTGCTCCACAAAGTTCTTCTCTGGTCCCCTCATGTGTGCTGGGACAGCCCTCGGCTCATCTCCCCCACAAATAAATAAATATGAAAGTCTTTGTCTTTTTTTGGTTTTGGTTTTTCAAGATAGGGTTTCTCTATGTAGCCCTGACTGTCCTGGAACCCACTTTGTAGACCAGGCTGGCCTCAAACTCACAGAGAGCCACCTGCTTCTGTGCTGGGATTAGAGGCGTGTGACACCATGCTTGGCAACTTTTTCTTTTTTCTTTTCTTTTTTTTTTTTTTTTTTTTTTTTTTTTTTTTTTTTTTAAGTAAGGCAGATCCCAAAGATGAGAATGAGAAAGTCCTGCAGACACATCCCGTGTTGCAAAACAAAATGATCCTTGCATATGACTAGACCCAACTGTTGGCTTGAGAAGGGCCCAGGTACCTGGTGAGGGCCACACGATCCTGCAACGTGTTGAAGCAGTGTGGTGCTTGGACCCTGTGTGGCTCACATTGTATCTAGGACTTTAAGTGGGATTCCTTGATAAAGGCCCGGGGAGACAAGAGGACGATGGCCAGGACTGGAGTCAGGGACCAGCAGACAGAGCGGCAGTTTTTCCTCAGGGAATAGAAGTCTCGGCTGGAGCGCTAGGTGAGGTCACGGAATCCAGCCATATTTACACAGACTTTATAGAGAGAACCAAGGTTCACAAAAGGCTGTCGGGGGAGGAGGGAGCACCTGTTGGGTGTGAATGAGGCGGTCCGTCTGCAGGGAAACCGGACTGGGCGGCTGGAAGAGCCCTGTCTGCTCTCTCGCCCCACGGCTTTCATGGCAGGGAAGTAGAGCATGGCTACAGTAACAGTGCAGGAAGAAAGGGGAACTAATGGGGGATTCAGAGTAATGGGAACTAGAGCCCAGGTCCAGCTGTCCAGCCCAGGTCCCCTGTGCCTCTGTCCCTGCTTCCAAGTCCCTACTCCTCAGCCTACTAGGCCCCCAGCCTCCTTGCTTCCCCTCCCTCCCAATACCTTGTTGGGCTTCACAGCCCGCTGTAGGTTCTCAATCCACTTGTCCCTTTCGGCTGCAGACCGGCAGGCGAAACATTTTGTTCCAGACGATGTTGTTACCTAGGGAGGAGTGTGAGTGTGAGATGGGGCTCCAAAGAGAGGCAACTCCTAGAGAAACCCGCCACCATGTCTTCCTGGCCCCAGATTTGTTTCCTCGACATCCCCACATATCTACTTCTGCCTCTGCCCTTTCCCATCCCTGCCCTCTCAACTCCCCTCAGCCCACGAGAGCCACTACCTCAAAGCAGAACTCCTGGCCCAGGATGGAGCTGTGCACCGGCTTGATGATGGAGTCCTCATCCAAGTTTAGCTCCAAGGCCTCAGCAGCGCTGCTAGGGCTCAGCAAGGACTCATGAGAGTGCGACTCCTTAAAGCTTTGCATCAGCCGGGCCCTGGCAGGCAGGAGGCGCAGAGAAAGGTCAGGGAAGGCCCTCTCTCCTTACTCTCGACACTCTGCCTCACCAGGGGCTCTGGAAGACAGCTGTCAGTCCTTCACACACAGATTCAGAGAAGGAAGCCCAGGCACAGGAGGCCCAGGGTACCAAAGCCCTTCAAGAGACCTCTCATACTCAGCTCAGACTCCAGGAGTTGGAATACCTAGAAATAACTCAAAATTGCTGGGCACAGACCTTTAATCCCAGCACTCAGGAGGCAGATGCAGGTAGATCCCTGTTAAGTTTGAGACCAGCCTGGTCTACATAGCAAGTCCCAGGCTAGCCAGAGCTACATAGTGAGACTTTGTCTTAAAACAAAACAAAACAAAACAAAAACAACAGAAAGAAAAAAAGAAAGAAAGAAAGAGAGAGAGGGAGGGAGGGAGGGAGGATGGAAAAGAAAGAAAGAAAGAAAGAAGGAAAGAAAGAAAGAAAGAAAGAAAGAGAAAGAAAAGAGAAAAGAAATGGCCTGGACGTGTCTAGGTGACTCCAGAAACCAGAATCTCAACATAAAGAAAAAAATGGAAGCAAAGAATTAAGGCACAGTGAAAATACAGTAATGTCTGGCTTGGACCTGGCACACAGCTAGTGCCTAATAAACATTTCATGATTCAAACTATGAATGAAGTAAGAGAACAGTTTTTAGCACAACCAGGGGAAAGAGAGGAAAGCATAAGAGAATCTGTGGGCAGAATGAAGGTCAGAGACGGGAGAGCAGCCTTGGGGAGAAGGGGAGGCAGAACAGCAAGCAACCAGGAGCAGAAGCAGGTGCGGTGAGGCTGAGGAAGGCAGCACTGTCAGGGGACAGAGAGAGCACGGCTCGGCTCGAAGGATAGGTGGGGCTGAGGGGCCAGCATGAGGGGAGAAAGGACAGCAAGCACTGTGGAAATGGGTAGGGGACGAAGAGAGACAGCATGGGGAAGCAGGGGGGGAGCTCGGGTGTGGGAGCCTCCATGAAGTTATTTATAGCAGCCCCGTCATCACAGGCTCTGGCTGCCGTCAGCACCACGCTCCCCCGGCCCCCCGCCCCCGCGGCCAGGAATACCATGCCCTCAGCCCCTGCCAGCCCCAAATCCAGCACTGGTTACTTGGAAGGGGGCAGGGAAAGGTGTGACTCACCTGATCCCAACCTTCCTACCCGCCTAGTCCCTAGGACAGCCAGACACAAGGGAAAACAAGGACTCGCTCTCTCCAGGGAGTGAGTGGACCAGGGGGAAGCCCAGAGGACAAAGGCAAGCAGACATGTCTTCTTCCTCAGTAGGTGGGTTAAGCCCAGCCCTTGCCCCCATTCTGTTACCTGCATACCAGACTAACTGCTTTTTCTGTTGCTCTATTGCTCCCCGCCACCATTACTGGGGTCTGAGTCCTCACCCATCAACACCAGCTACCTCTCACCCATTTCCAACCTGCTGCCCTTAATCCGTGCCCTCTCCTCCCCTTCCACCTAGGTCCTGCTGGCCCCTTCTCCCCACCCAGTTATGTCACTAGTCTGTCCTATCCTACCCTGGGCAGGAGCCCACCCTTCCTTCCACACTAAAAGCCCTCCTTGGCTTCACCTTCACCCCCTTCCCTGCTTCTGCAGGTACCCCCCCATCACCTCCTGTTTCCCCCTCTCTGATGCCTCTGTACCCCAAACAACACGAGCCTGTTAACCTTTGTACTCAGGGAATCCCCAGTCCCACTCAGCACCCTTAGACTGCAGCCATCTCATTTCAGGCCCTGTACCTACCGGTCATGGTCAGCACTTCTGAAGCGAGGCAGGATCTGTCGAAAACTGCTGGTCCGGTCAAGTTTGGGTTGTGACTTTGTACGTTTGATAGAGCTTTTCAGCCTCCGGCTCAGGAAGCCTTGCTGGGGAGCAAATGGGAATAGGGGTGATTGGGGCAGGGCAGAGTCTCCCTCGACACCCCTCAGCTGGCAGGAAATTCCTGGCAGGGCATGGAGTAGGGGAAAGGGATAGGAGCCCTGACACCAGTTTGTCTTCCTTGTTCCCACGGGTGCTGTATGATGTGAGCAAATACACAAACACACACACTAGCTTGGAAAAGGTGGGAGGGCTGGTCCAAGAAGTAGGGGGCAGAGCCAAGAAGGGGTAAACCAAAGAGGTGGGGATACACACACACACACACACACACACACACACACACACACACACTCTTGCTCGCTCGGTCCTCTTTTCTCAGAATCCTGGAGCCCCAGCTGGGGCTGGAAGAGAAGAGGCCCAGCTGAGCCACATCTGGCAGGCACTTCCATTCACTCACCGAGGGCCGGAAGGGCGCAGCGGGGGCGGCCTCCATGCTGTACTGCTTCCCCCCTGGGACACTCTTCCTCCTCGAGCGACCCAAGTGGTATTCTGGAGGGGAGGAAAGGGCCCGAAGGGAAGCTGGGGAAGGGGCTACAGGACCGGTCGTCCCAATTTCCACCCCGGGCCAGCATATTAGCCACCTCCCTCAGGCCCTCAGCTCCGGCCTCACCTACCCCCCGGAAAACAGCAAGAAGAGCAGCGGCGACGGAGAGGTTGGCGGTGGGAAGGAGGGGGCAAGGAACCCGAGCCGGAGCCCCCTGATGGGGTCGGGGTGGGAGGCCGTAAGCCCATGACTGGGGCTTGCAGTTAGCGGGGGCGCATAGTCAGGAGGGTCAGAAAAACCTCCACAATGAAGAATGCCCACGGCCCAGGGGGGCTCAATTGCCCGTCCCCTGCCCAAGGGAAGGGGCTTGCTTAGGGGGAGATGGGTTAAAGGTCATTGCCCATGGCCGGGCTTTGCTCTTTTCCCAGCTGGGCACATCCTCCCCCTGCCCCACACTCCCCAGAGACCCTGTCGGTCTGGAGGTCCAGGGCTGCCTCCCATGACCCCCTCCCAGGACTGGAGGGGGAGGTCTCAGAAGAGACCTGTGCTGAGTGGAGGGGAACAGAAAATCTGAGGAAGGGGCAGATGGGGAGTGGGGAGAAGGAGCCGGTTCCACGTGCACCGCAGTGCTAGTGAAGGGTTGAGGAGGAGAAGAAAAGAATGCAGGGGAGTGGGGAGGATGGGCAGTGGGATTCTGGGGACTCCTAAGTAAAGGCTGGCGAGGAGGGGGAGGTGAATGCGGATGAAGCTCAGCCTGCCAAGAGTCTACAGAATGGGAGCTTGGAAGGGAGCTGAAGGTCCGCTGCTAGGGAATTTGGAGGGGCTGAGGGGCTGAGGGAGAATGAAAGTGGGGGGATGCCAAGCTCCGGCTCCAGCTCCAGAATGGCTGCCCAGGCCTGGGCTCCCCCCTCAGCCCCACAGTCACCACTGCAGCCAATGGGGGGGCTGGTGCTGCATCAGGGGCGGGGCCACCATCTCCATGGCAACAAGAAGCTACAGGCTGGGGGGGGCAACCGGAAGAACTGCCTGTTAACCCACTAGGTTCCAGAACTGTGAAAGCCACACTACATTTTCACGCCTGCTTCCAGATTTCATATTGCCTGGGACCCAGTCCCTCCTTGCTCCTTACAGGCCAGCTCAGGTTTGCACACACACGTCTGGACCCCTAGGCAAGAGCACCCTCTCAGGAACATGTGTAGAGCACGAAAGAACACCAAGCAGCAGGGATCCGTGTAGGTATTGCAGCCGCATTATGAGAAATCACAGGAAACTCTGTGCTTTGGAGACATACAGAAAGCACCGAGCACAGGGGCGCCAGGGGCCCACAGGGAGAGCCCAGGTCCCTCCCTGGACCCCGTACAGAGCCCGTACCCACGTTTACACAGTGTGAGCGCTGCAGCAGGGTGTGCAGACTTGAACTCAGACAGCCACATGAGAACTGCTGGTGTGGACCCTGCTGCCCAAGTCCCTTGGGCTGTCATGTGGGCAGCAGGCTACACAAATGGGCAGGTGAGCCCAGGACAGCTCATGCCCCACAAGCAGGAACGTGTCTGTTCAAGCCCTGAGACACATGTGTAAGTATCCTGTGGCCCCGTGTGTCAGCCCTGCACCGTGTCTATCCACCACGAGCTCAGTGAGATGGAGGAAGCACCATACCCCTAAAGCACACTCACAGGTCACACTAACAGTACAACCACAGTCACTGTGGGGACAGCGCCCCTCCCCCTGCCCTGCTTTCTTATAGCCTTTCCATGACTCTGACACCAGCATCTGTGATGGCTACCAGAGAAACACAGCAAATAAAACAAAAACTCGGAGCAAACATGTTAATTAGCCTCTGTCACACAGTAAACCGCGAACCTGAAGGCCCCGCACTTCTTCCTAACCCACTCCTCTGCGTTTCTCAGCTATGTCTGGCTTACTCTCATTCCAGGAAACTTAGTTCAGCCATTATTTTCACACACAAGCATCTCTACTAAAGGCATAAAAGCGTTAAGCTTAAATCCACTGAAATTTTCTTTTGGAGCTGAAAGCATTCACGGAGGGGAGGGGATCTGCTAATTGCTCTGCTTAGTTCCTGGAAGCAACACACATAAAATACCAGGAACTCACAAGTCAGTCACAGGTGCATGGAGGCCACACGCACATGCCCACCAGGACTCTGACACAGGAGGAGAGGGCAGACGCACGGAAGAGGGCAGGGCGACAGGAACACGGGATACCCTGTTGTTAGTGCTGCCTGCGGGGACATGTACAGAACTGCACACGGCCGCGTACACACCGCAGCAGACGCTGCCATGCCGCCTCTCCACGTCCCATCTCCGCATGATGTACATGCTTATGCACACAGAACAGCCACCTCCACAGACCCGCAACATAGGCATTGTGCACCCACCCACACAGTACACACTCTGTATACACACACCCACACACCCACACACACCCTGTATACACACACAACTGCACACACACACAGCAAAGGCTTGGACTCCGCCTCTCCAATGTCTCTAATCTTGACTTCACCCACAAACATTTCTCCTACCCTCCAACCCCCCAAATCCCTACCCTTCCCATACATAGCCTTTCTTCTCCACACCCAGCTCTCAGGGGGAGCCAGGGAGAAAAGTAGCCAGAGAGAGATGAGGAGCTAGGCTAAAGAGGGGCTGGAGAAGTTGGGGGAGGGCACGCTCTGCAGTCTCCGTGGTGACAGGCCTCGCTGAAAAGCAGCCTCCTGCAGTCCAGCTAAGCCTGAGCCTACAGAGCCGGGGCTGGGCCCTCCTGCACCCATCCCTCTCCCCTCAGACTGCTTCACAGAGAGACCTGGCTCCTCACCTGCCTCCCAGCCTTCCTATCTTAAGCCTGTGCTCTTTGCTCTCTTCTGGGTCCAATTCAGCTCTCTTAGACTCCCATTCTCGGGCTATTCTCTCTCCCTGACTCTTTGCTGTCCCCTTCTTGATGACTTGTCCCTACTTTCCCTCTTCACCCTATTCCTTCAAGCTTTTCTATCCCCATCTAGGGACCAGACAGAGGCCCACACCTGCCTAGTCCAAAGGTGCTTCATGCAGTCGGACTCCAAGGAACCATTCACACACTCTGTCCCCACCCCCAGCACACCACCCACATCCAGACACGCCCTGGACACCCATGCCGGGACTGACACAGATACTCAGGCCAACGTTAGAACACGCATGCAAAGACACACAGCTGCCACCAGGGACACCGAAAATTCCTACACACCGCCTCAACCATGGTCATGCACGCTCAGGGTCAGAGGTGACTGACGAGAATCAGTATGGCCAGTGGCTAGCCCCACAGGCCCTCAGGCTGTCAAGACAGGACGAACCTGCACAGTGCTGGCTACACATGTGTGCAAGAGGAATTGGGCCCCATGTGCACATGGCACCAACACACAGAGACACACGCACGGTCACGATCACACGCAAACACCAGGACTGCCCCTCAGTTAGGGCTCCAAGACCCCCTCACAACAGCCGCCCCCACGCACGCTCAAAACCCTGTCCCCACGAAGCTGCCCAGACCCCCTCCCTCCCAACCTCTGCTGCCCCCCCTCCGGTTACCATAACTCCCCCCACTCGGAAGATGCAGCGAGAACATGCGGAGGGAGCAGCTGCTGCCGCCGCCGCCGCCGCCACCGCGGCCTCCCCAGCCCCCTCCCGTGCCCACGCACACGCGCGCCCCCGACCCACGCGCGCGGCCCCCCACGCGCGCGCTTCGTCCGCCCGGCCCCGCCCTTACCTCGCACCGCCCCCCGGGGAGGGGGTCGAGGGTGTCCCCGGTGGGGGAGGGGCCGCCCTGCGCGGGGGAGGGGCGGGTGCGGAGGGAGAGGGGGCGGCGGCCCGGCTCGCGCCGCCCGACGCGGTGGGGCGTCGGCGGGGCCCGGGACGGCCTGGACGGCCGCGCGGTGACAGCCGCGGGAACGGCTCCCTCCGCCGCCGCTCCCGCCGTTGCCCGGGCCCCGCCGCCGTTGCTAGGCGACCGCTGCTGCCGTGGCCGCCTCTGTCACGAGCCCCGTCGCCCGGAGACAGCGCGAGAGGGACGGGGGAGGGGGACAGAGAGACCCCCCAAACCAAACAGGCCTCCCATCGTCGCCTCCAGAATAGGACCCCCACCCCCCCAAAAAATGAGAGCGCGCGAGAGAAACCCGTGAAGGGAGTGAGGGTTTGCAGCTCCACCCAGCAGAGGAGGAGCCCTGGATTCCAGTGCCCTCAAAGGTCCGGCGACCTCTCCCGGGCTGGAGCGTCCACAGCCTCAGCAAACACCTTTGCAGAGCTGAGTCCCCAAAGCCCCGGACCTTTCTTCCCCTGCACACCCTCCATGTCCTCTACACATTCTGTTTCCCCCTAAGATCCCAAACGTTCAGCAGCTATTAACTTCTACTCGCCCCTACCCCCAAATATTCATACATACATGTGTGTGTGCACATGCATACATACACATATATAGGTACAGACAGCTCAGGGGACCATGCCCAGCCTTTGCTAAGCCCCAATGCAGCAACCTTCACAGGCCACCTACAGGCCACCTCAACTCCGCCCGGACATAGGAGACCCACATCAAAGGAGACAGAACTGTGTGGGCAGAGCGGACAACCGCAGGACACACGACAAACCACCTCCGTGAGCATGTTAGCGTTCCAATGCACACTGCACACGCACACACACACACCACGCTCCAGACATGGACACGACATTCTCTGTGTACTCTCCACCACCACCTCCTGGCTTGCCTCAGAGTGCTACCTAGACCCTGTGCTGGTTTCCATGACAATGACACACATCCCGGACCACTGGCCCGGGGTCCCAAAGCTGGCCCCCCAAGGGCAGTGAGGCCTGGGTCTATCCAGGCCACAATTTCTCTAAGGAAGCAACATGGAAGCCTGTATCCCTGGGGAAGAAGAGTGGTGGGATGCAGGGGTCGCCTGGGGTTGGATGAGGGTCATGGAAATGCTGAGAACTGGGCAGCGGCAAGGGGGTTTCCGGCGACTGAGGGCGTCTCTCTGCACCTTGGCTACAGATCCCTGTTCTCTGCCTTCATCTCCCCTCACTGTTCCCATGGAAACCTTTTAAGCGAACTTCTCAGAGGAAGACAAAAATCTTTTTTTAAATGACTAAAGAGGGGGGTGGGGGGGCAGAAGGGAGGAGGAAGGGGAAGAGACAGATGGAGAGAGGGAGAGAGTTGGAGAGACAGTGAGGAGATGGGGGTCTGAGAGTTCTGCCGGGAGCAGAGGGGAGGGACACGACACGGGAATCAAGGGGGAACGGAACATGAGAACGGGAGAAACAGGAAAGCAGGGCGACACAACTGCAGAAAACGGAATCCGTGAGGACAAGAGCAGAGGGAAAGGCCACAGGCCTCAAGACCTGGAAGAAGATGGGCGCTCGCGGGTGGGACACAGATCTGGTGGAGAGCGGGGACTAGGTCAAGTTCTCAGACCGAGGATGTGAGGGACCGGGCCAGGAGAGCAGACAGGAGACTGAAGCTCTAAGGAGACTGTTTTTACAGGCACCGGGAAACAGTCAAACTTCACTGCCGGAGAGGAAAGGGGAGCGAAGCGAAGCAGCGTGGGGACACGCGGGGGCCGCTCACCAACAGCCCCGGTACCCCGCGCAGCCCGGATGAGGGCGCCCTGTCCTCGGGATCGGGATCGCGGCTGCTCTCCGCCCCCGCCCGCTCCCCGCGACTGTCCGGGGCACGAGCCTGCTCGGCCGCCGTACCATGCTCGCCGTGGGGCCGCCCCTCCACCGGCACGGAGACCGTGCGTCTCAGCAGTTTGTTTCGGCTGGACTCGCTCCTCCGGTCGCGGATCAGAAGGGGGTGTATCTAGGGGATTGGGGAGTGTGTCAGACCCCACGAGCCTACGCCGCCCCTCCTCTCCCCTTCCGCCCCTGCCCACTTCACTCGGCCTTGATGGGGACTTCTCCTTCCCTGTTCCTCCATTTCTCTTCAAACAGTCTAGAGACTTTCCCCAAGCCCCGCTCAGCACATCCTGCAACTCCACAGGAGTTGGTTTCCAGACTCCGGTTTCCCCTTGACCTTCAGTTCGTCCACTCTCCCTGCGTCCCTCCCAACCTCCTACCTTCCTCACCCCCTTCTCCCTCAAGCTTGTCACAGCTGCATTTATAATCAGTTCCACAGCTTGTCTCCCTCCCACAGCCCGGCTTGCGGCCAGACTGGGACCCAACCTCCCCTCCCCCAAGAGGGGCCTGGTCACCTCCCCCTTTTCATCTCCCCCCTTTACCCTCCACCTGCATCACCGTCCCTCCTCTCTCAGCCCTACCTTTCCCTGGGCCTCACCTCACCCCGCCCCCAGTCGTCCTAACTCCCACCCCTACCAGAAGCTAGACTCCCACGAGGCCCCAGCCCCACTATCCACCCAATTCTAGCTCCCTAGGGCCTTCATTTTTCCAGCTCCCACCTTCCTACCAGCTATTCCTGCTGGCCTCAGCTGCCTAGTGGAAGCTCTGTCTCCATGTCTGTGCCTCTCTTTCATCCCTGCACTGGCTCCCACTCTGGGGGTTCTCCCTTCCCCCAGCCCATCCAATGACTTCAGATCCGTGGTCAAGGCTGATGACCACTCAGACGTCTTCCAGTACCCCAAGCTTAGGCCACCAGGCCACCTCAGCTGTGGCCAGAGTTACCGTACCCGTCAGACCCTTGCGTTTTATGGGCTGGACGATCTCTCTCCACATTCTCATTAGCCCCAGTCCAATGCCAGCCTCAACAGTTTTTAGGCACAACTCTCAGAGCTTTCCCAGGGTGCCCTATACTCTAAAAATGGCTCCGAAATCACACCCGGGGCCTCACCCTTCACAACTGCACTCTTCTCTGAAGAACAGATTACTACTGACCCTGGCCCTGCTGTGGAAGGCACACTCCTGGGACTCTCAGACCTGACGTCAGTCTAACGTCTACACAATCTCCTTCAAGACTCTCTTGGCCATCCCACCTCCTCACCCTGGCTAGTCCAAGTCCTGCTCCTGTACAGAGCTCCCACCCACTCCAGTCACCTGCCTCCTCAGGCCTCTCTTCCTCTTGAGTCTCCCTTCCTGAAACCCAGCCTGCCCTGCAGACGTGTGAGTAGACACTGGGCCTAAGCTCATGCTCTTCAATTCCATTCATGCCAAAATACAGTGACTCTGTCATTTGTCAGTCCCTCCAGCTGTTCCCGCTTCCCCTGCCTTCTCTTGGGGCCACTCAGTGACCTTTGCACTTTGCCCCAGGATGAAGAACCAGGAGTGGCAGGGGAGGAGAAAGCTCGGGCTCACTTTGGAGGAAAGCCTGTCCTCCCCATTTCTCCACTCTTTCTCTAAGCTCTTCATTTTCCCTCCCCCATAACATGGATGGGGTGAAAAGAGCAGGCACCCTCAAATCTTCAGAACCATAGCTCCTCCACAGCTCTTCCAATGGCCTCAAAGGCCTCCTAGCAAATGTCAAAGAATGGCTGTCTTCTTCATAACACCCTGACCACATCCCAATGGCCACCCTCCTCCCATCTCTTGTCTGCCTTCCTTACTTTGTTAGGGCTTGCTCTCCCCAGCATCCTCTCCACTACCCGCTTTCCCAACCTCCTCATCCCGCTCACCTCATCCTCATCCAGCATGAGCAGCTGGTTCCCCGAGATGATGCAGAACCGAGGGTTCCAACCAGGACGATCATACGGGGAATGAACGTATTGGGTTCGGTGCATAGGGGGTCCCCGTACATCTGGGGGACAGAGACACACAAACAGTAAGGGAGGCTCTATACTTTGGGTGTAGAAACCTAAAATGGAAAGAAGACTCTGCAGAGTGGGGAAGGGAGTGTCAGCCTTGGGTGTGAAGTGCCTGGCAATTTTGAAGGGTCAGAAGATGGGCCTTCACACTGAGTCACACCCTAGGAGGCTCCAGGAAGGGGATGCACACGGCTTCAGGGTAAGAAGTTAGTCTAACAACAGGGTGTGGCTTATTGGGGGCAGAAGGTGAAAACTCTACTCAACCGCTAGTCTAGGGGTGGGGTAGAGATTCCTTGAAACTGGCCAGAGATACAGAGAGGTCAGAGGAGGGCATGAATAAGCTGCTTACAATGGACTGGGAGAGTAAGAGGTACCCAGCTGTGGGAAGAAGACGGTGTGTTTAACAACATTTGGGTCACAGGATTCTGAGAGCTAAGCATCTGAAAGAGAGGGAGGGAGGCTTACATGTTCAGAGAGGCCTGGGGCCTCCCTCCCTTACCCCCTAGTCCTACCCTGTTCTTCCTTTGGGGGAAGCTGCCAGGGGAAAAAAACAGCTCTTCTGAGCATCCAGCTGGACAGGGATCGGGGTGGAGAAAATGGTAAGTATACTGTGTGCATAACCAGAGTCGAAATCGGCCTCCTTGCCCGTAACATGCTCAGTAGTCAAGAGTCAATCCTGCTCTCCCCACCTACTCTTCATAGATTAGAGGGAAGCCAACTCCACAGGTTGAGAGCCTCACCTGGACACAGTGAGGAACTTTAGAAGGAGTTGGGGAAAGGTCGGAAGAGCCAATCCTGATGACAGGAGAACATCCCAAGATGAGATCTGAAGATAGACAATTTTCCAGAAAAAACCGGGACCAACAACTGTGCAGGCTAAGATGCCTGTGGGTTTCCCTGCCCCATTTTTGCTGTCTTGCTAGCATCATTGCCATATACCACTTATGGGAACACAGTGAAGGGCCTTAAGGAAGTTATTAAAGTTAGATTGGTGACATCAGAGTGATAGAACTAGGCCTAAGAGAATGTTGTAGAGAATGTTGACAGGAAGGAAAAGCCATTGCTGTCACCCTTGTGGGATAATGACCTTGGGCACATTTTAGGAAAACTCGCCTTTGAGCTTCGTTTCAGCGCCTTGAGTAACTTTAGAAAACTCCACCCCTTACTGATGATGGTCATAGTCCTCAAATTTACCCAAGCTGCAGGTCAGAGAGAAAGACGCACCCCTGGGGACACCAGTGCCTAGACATCACAACACCTTCACAGTTTCACTGCCTCAGTGCTTTCTTGGAGACTCTGCCAATCTTCTCTAGATACAAAGATCACTGACAGGCTGGGGATTATAGCTCAGGGTTAGGAAAACAAAGCTAAACACACAGCTCCAAGCCCCAGCATTACAGCAACGACAACCACCACCAATAACTTAGACCACAGACATGGAAGGCAACGGGCCGACTGCATCTCGACAGCCGGTGTACCCAGAGGGAAAATCTGTTGATACATATAACCAAAACAGAACAGAGCAGCAGCTCCAGGCTACAGTTGGGGCAAGCAGGTTAGACCTCAGGAGACACTATTTTCCCGGGAACAGGAAAAGGACACAGGGAACCTTGGCTTAAGAACAACTCTACACACACACACACAGACATGTCTATTAAGAAAGGTAGTGATCCTGGTAGGCAATGGAACATGCTAGAGAAAGGGGGAATAGGAAATTTTGGCTGGAATGAAAAGTTCCACAAGGGTTCAAGATAAGGATGTCTTAGAGCCCCTGTTCCAACCCTCAAAACCTGTGTTTTGGTACCCCAAACCTCCATCACCCCAGGAAGCACAGGGGACAAGAAGAGAGAAATAGTGATCAAAGTTGGAGAATAAAGGAAAATAAATAAGCACAGACCATGTGACAAGATGGGAAGCAGGGGAGGAAAGGGAGGAAGGGCTGAGGGGCAAGTAAGAGGGTGGATCTAAGAGAAAAGGAAGATGATGGTAAATGCCTAGAAGCAAGGGGACTGAGCAGAAGGTGTCAGCCAACATGGGGCAGACAGAATGAGCAAGACCCAACAGGGGGCTGAAACATGGGGTCCAGGAGCAGTGGTGGTATAACAGCTATTAGAAGAGAGGGAGAGAGAGGGGAGACAACAAATATGAGATAGGGGACTAATACAGGAAAAGGACAGAAGGGGGACTCATATAAGAAACGGACACCATATGGGGGGAAAGATATAAGTGATGGACAGCAGAGGAAGGGAGGGGGAATGGAAATAAGAGGTGGGGTGGGGGAAGGGGTCAGAGTGATTAAGTGAAGAAAACTGATGAGACCCCAGGGATTGCATTTCACCCGTCAAGAGTCCTAATGAGGGTCCGTCATCGGCAGGATTTTCACCTGGTCCTTGCTCCCATCACTCAATCTTCCTTGCCTCCCCCCCTACCCGCCCCCCCCCCCCACGCCACTACCACCCTCTTTCTCCATCTGGCCCCTTCGCTTCCTCCATCCTCCTCTTTTCCTAACCCCTACCATCCTGAGCCCCTCACCAAATTCCCTTCCCATCTTCTTGGTCTCTCTTTCCGCCCCTGTGTTTTCATTTTCCCTTTCTACCCTTTCCTAAGCCTGTCTGTGCCTTATCTCTTCACTCAGTTCCCAAACCCAAACCATTTCTGCAGCCTTTCCCCAAACTCAATCCTCCCTTCTCATCCCCTTCTGACGTTCTTTCCCCTCAGCCCCTTTAAGGCCTGGGTCCCAGCCCCTCCATCCCTTACCTACCCCTATGCCTCTAGTCTGCAATCCCTCCTTCCCCACTGTTCCCACCTCTGCCTTGCCAGCCCTCCCCTCTCCCTCCATTTCAGCCGCTCCTTCCCCTTGGTGGCCCCGGCTCTCCCCCGCCCCCTGCCCCTCCCCCTCTCGCCCCCCATCTGGCCCTCCCCTTCCCCCTACCACCACCGTACCTCTGAAGGGGGCATAGGACATCGCGGGGATGCTCCCCCGATGGATGGAGGCTCGAGACCTGCTCATCAGGCCTGAGGGGGAGGGGGCGGGGGGACGGGGGGAGAAAAAAGAAGAGAGAAAGAGGGGGAGAGAGAGGGGGAGAAGGAGGAGGTGGAGGAGGAGGAGGAGGAGGAGGAGGAGGAGGAGAGAGGAGGAGAGATGAGCGGAGAGGAGCAGAGAGGAGGAGAGAGGAGGAGGAGGAGGAGGAGAATAAGAGCCAACGGCAGCAGCGGCAGCAGAGAGCGAGGGGGGGCGGGGGAAGCGAGCGAGAGAGGAGAGAGCAGGAGGAGGAGGGAGAGATTCTGCAGCCCCCACCCCTACTCTCAGGGAGACCCGGAAAAAGAGAGAGCCTGAGACCCCTGACTCATACACATGAGAGGCAGCAGTCCTGAGGAAGCTGACCCCAGACCCTAAGACAGACCCCAGACCCAGAGAAAGATACCTCGCTACCGCGCCCCTCACTCTACTCTCAACAAATAATCTCACAGACCCAAATCTTGAAGGAAAGAGATCCTCTGATCTTAGAAAAAACAACAACAAAAAACACACCCCCTCCCAAAGGAGTCACAGATCAGAATCTGAGAATCCGGTCCCAACAAGGCTCTTCAGACCTATGTTAGTCTTACACCTCGGACCCTGGACTAGTGGCAGTTTTGGGGACCCAAAACGGAGACCTAGACTCAAAGATGAAACCAGTGAAAGAAAGAGCCCCATCTCAGAACTGGATCTTAGAACCTAGCCAGAGAAAACCTGGATCCCTATCTCAAAGAAACCGCAAACTTGAACGTGAGGGAAGAGACATTTAGCTGACCCAAAGATGAAGATGACCACACAGAGATCTGAAATTCATTACATCTGAAAGAGCTGAATCGGTGACCACTGGCCTCAATTCCCTAAGTCAGACCTTAGAGCCCAAATATTGGAACCCCCCCCCCCCCCCCCCCCCCAAGGATCCCCGACAGAGCTCGCCCCCAACTCAAGAGGGACCTAAGCATCAGCCTGGGCAAAGTGCAGCCACCCACGCCAGGGACCCCAGGCCTTGAAGGGGTGATACTTGGGTGGCAGAGCCTTCTTCCCTGCTGTCTGCCCGCTCACTGGGGCCCCTCTCCATTTTTGGGTCACTGGATGTGTTTGGGCCCTAGGGAGGTTATGTAGGGCAGGTCCCGGCTCCTAGGGGGACTGGATGAAGGTAAGGAGACCCAAGACTTGAGAGGGGGGCCAATCCTGGGGAGAAGAATCAGCAAGGGAGCAAAAACAGGGCCATCGCTCCGAACCCTAACCTGCAACGCTCATTTCTCCTTTCCTCTCCTTTGCCAGTCTGTCCTAAGCTTTGGGTTTTCGCTGCCTTCCGTCACCCGCTAGCCCATTTGCAGGTGTCACCCAGGCCTTTGGAAAGCCTCTCCTCACCCAGCCATGGCCGTGCCATGTCTGAGCCTGCCTGATCACTGCCCCCTACCCAGGGACAGCTGGCTTCTCAGCTCGGCGCTAACGCGAGGGCGGGGGGCACTGTCCCCCCGGAACTGTCATCTCAGCGCTCTCCCTTCCTCCCCGCCCGCCTCTCAGTGCGGGGAGGAGGGGGCTGTTACTAGGCGCACTCCGGGGCCCAGGACGACTCCCCGGCCCCAGCCTGACGCAGCGAGGGCGCGGGTCGCCAGGTCCCGCGTCACGTGGCCCGCGAGGCGGGCCGCCCATTGGCCTCCGCCCGCTGCTCCTGAGGCGGCGGCGCGTGAGAGGACGGGCCCCGTCACGTGACGGCGGGCCGCCGCAGCGGCGTTCCTCAGCCAGCAACCGGCCAGGGCTTCCGGGAGAGGGGCGGGGCCGCTCCGGCGCACGTCCTCAGCCCGGGCTGCCGATTGGCCGGAGGGCCCTTCGCCCCGCCCCTTTCGGGAGACGCGGCAATCCGGGCCACTGGAGGGCCGGGATTGGCCAGGTCCGAGCCTCTGGGGAGGCGGGGCTGCTCGTGTCACGTGGTGCGCACTGGCTTCTCGTCACGTGGCTGCTGCCCAGGTAAGAGGAGGCCGCTCTTGGGGCGCTCGGGGTCCTTCCTCCCTGGAAGGCGCGGCCTTCGACCTCGTCCCTTGTCCACCAGCGTGGGCTGCATGAGCTGGGGGCGGGTGCCCGGCGTCCTGCTCGGCGGAGGGGTGAGTCTGGCCCCGCCCCTTCCGGTCTCCGGGTCGCTCTCCGAGCTGCAGCACCCGGGCCAGGCGCCGTGTTCCAAGTTTTAAGTTTGAGGGGTATTCTCCTTCCGGGTGCGGGAAAGGCGGGGCGGAGGCTTGGTGTGTGCCCCAGAAGGCCCCCCGGGGTGCAGTCTTCTGGGGCAGTTGTGGGGACGCTGGATCCGCCCCCCGCTCTCAGGCCGCGCTGCTCCTGTCCGTTCTTTGGATGCCTGCGCTGCTGCCGGTGGCCTCCCGCCTTCTGCTGCTGCCCCGAGCCCTGCTGTCCATGGCCTCTGGAAGCCCTCCTTCCCAGCCCTCTCCGGCTTCGGGCTCCGCCTACGTCCCAGGATCAGTTTCTGCAGCCTTCGTCACTTGTCCCAACGAAAAAGTCGCCAAGGAGATCGCCAGGTGGGGGTCCTCGGCAGGATGACCTCCCAGGCGGAGTTGGGGCTAGAGGGAGGGCGCTGCCTCTGCGGGTGGCTCTGGAAGCCGCAGGCCGGCCGCGTCTGATGGTGCTGCCGCCTCACCCTCAGGGCAGTGGTAGAGAAGCGCCTGGCGGCCTGCGTCAACCTCATCCCGCAGATCACATCCATGTGAGTTGCCAGAGTTAGAAACTGAATCTAACTTTGAGGGGCTGGGTGCTTTTTTTTTTTTGGGGGGGGGGGAGTCTTTCTTTCCCAAGACTTTGTTCCCTTTTTTTTTCTTCTGACCTCTTCAGCTATGAATGGAAAGGAAAGATCGAGGAAGACAGTGAGGTGTTGATGGTGAGAAAACCCCCCTCCTGCCTGACTCCTTTGACAGTACTGGCCCTCACGTGACTTCAGTTCCAACCTTGGAATTGTGTCTGTCTTTGCCCTTTAGATGATTAAAACGCAAAGCTCCCTGGTACCCGCTCTGACAGATTTTGTTCGGTAAGAGCCTTGAGGTTTCCCTTTGGTGGCTGTGCTGGGGGATGAACCGGGGCCTTGAGCGTTCTAGGCAAGCGCTCAGCGCTGTGTGGTGGGAGTCCGGGGCTGGTGTCTTGAGGGGGCATGCCCTTGGGTGCCCGAATAACCACAGCCCCCTCGCTTCTGCAGGTCTGTGCACCCATACGAGGTTGCTGAGGTGATTGCGTTGCCCGTGGAGCAGGGAAATCCCCCGTACCTGCACTGGGTACATCAAGTCACAGAAACAGTCTCAGATTCTGGCAAAGCTCTGCCATGATGAGCCCTGTTCTCTGCTTGATGCCCTCTGCTTCCCAGGTGGTTATGGCTGAGCCCCCAATAAAGCCTCTCCTGTTGCTGCCTTTGCCTTTCCCTGTGTAACACGGATGTGGTTGGGGGAGATCAAGAGTACCTCTGGTTCTTCTGTCCATCTTTCAGAGTGACTCACGCCTACTAGGTTTGTTTGTTTCTCTTTATTACAGTCATACAGAGTCTGGAATTCTGGACGTCCCCACCCCCCAATCTCTATACCCAGGGGTTAAATAGTTTTAAAAAATATTTTAAAAGCTGTAACAAAATAACATCAAAGTAAATGAGAAGGATGAGGGGGGTCAGGAGTCTCAAAGGGGCAGAGAAGAGGTGCTCTTCCCTGCTCCCCTGGATTCCAGCCTGGGCAAGAGGGAGCATCCCTCCCTGTCCAGGTACATCCCAGCTGTAGGTGAGGTCAGAGGTCAGCGCGTGAAAGTGCCAGTGTGTGAATGGGGGTAAGCAGGAGTGGGCTGTCAGAAGATGCCCCCTCCCCCCCACTCAACTAGGTACTGCACAGAGCCGTCAGGCCGCACTCTCCGAGCAAGCACCCTCACAGGGTCCCCTCGGGACAGGTAGCCAACCCCACCTCGGACTCCCCCCCCATTCCCCGGAGACAAACTACGGCACAAGGGAGAAGAGGGAACTGAATGTCTAGACAGGCCAGGGCTCAGGGTTGGGACCGAGGAAGATGGGGTCGTCACTGAGTGGGGAGGACTTTTAGGGTTGTCTGTGGGGAAGCCAATGTGAAGTTCCAGGGGTGACCTGGAAGAGAGGAGACAGCAGTAAGGCCAGACAGGTCAGACGTGGGCAGCTCGTGCCTTTATCCAGCAGTTGAGAGAAGGGCTGCCATGAGTTTGGGGTGGTTCTGAGCTTAAGAGACTAAGGAGCCTGAGGGCACAGAAGGAAAGGAGAGAAGACTCACCTGTCTGGGGGTTCACTGTCCCCAGAGGTCCCTGCAGTGCTGGCAGAAGGGTGGAAGGAAGCGAACATCCGGATGGGGCTGCTGAGGTTGGGGAACAGGCAAGTCAGGACCCGAAGCAGGGAAACATGTCTTCCCTGCGAAGGGCAGAGTTCAAACACTCCCACAGTGCACCTGCACTCCCAGAACACTGGGCATCAGTTGGCGCTAGAAGTCTCTTTGGGACAACAATTGAAAAATAAAGGCGGAAAGGAAAAAGACTACAAGTGACAGTGTGCAGGATGGAAATAAGGGGTATATCTGGATGAGGAACTGACCTGGGCAGACAGCGGGCATCTGTGGGCCGGAAGTTGTAGCCGCTGCTGCCCTGGTAGCTCTGGTTAGGGCTGGGGGGTGGCGGAGACACTGAGGCCTGTAAGAAAAGGACTGAGATAGCCCTTGACCCTCTCCCACACCCCACCAGTTTGCCCGTGGGATTCCCCCTGCCCTTGTACCTGCAGCGCCCTCTGCAGACGAGCCCGCTCCCTCTGCTCCCGGGACCCATGCCGACTGTGCACTGGTGTGGGTGGCCCCCGTTCCTCCACTTTCCCCTTCTGCCTCCTCCTCAGGGGTTCTGGCTCCGACCTCCGTCGCTTCCCCAGGGGACGTGAGACCCCTCCCCCAGGGCCCTGCCCTGAAGGGAAGCTGTAAGAGGCCTCCTTATCCCCCCAGCTCCCTCCCAGGCACCCCAAGACCCCCCTGTTCCTGCACATGTACCCTCCAAACTGATCCCTGAACAAATTTCCCATCCCCCATGGACCAGTGACCTGGTGGGGGCTCCATCTCCAGTGAGAGGCTCCACAGGAGGAGGGGTCCGAGCATGGAGACCAAAAAGACATTTCCTCTTTTTAATCTCCCTCCCTGAGATGAAACTGGGACAAGGAGAGAATTGGCAGGTCAGTGTTGTAGCAATCGTCCCTTATCCAGACTTGTGCTGCATCCCGAGCCTCCCTCTTCTGACTCACCGGTCCTTGTGGCTGTTAAGAGCGGAAAGGAGCTTGGAAGAACGTTCTCCCTTGGGGGTGTCCGAAAGCTGAAGGAAGAGGGTCAATGGGTCAGGGAGCAGCCATTCCTCTCCTTGTCCCACCCTAGATCAGAGCTTTAGAACCCTTACCTCCCCCAGGAGCAGACTGTCCCAATTCTCAGAGGTGAAGGGGAGGATCTCTCTGTCAAAATCAAAGTACTTCTTCTTGCAGCAAACGCTGAGATGGTAGAGCACAAGATGGGCCACATCCACCCTGGGGAAGCATGAGGTGGTCAGCAGCACTGCCATGAATGGCAGGAGTCGTTTGGGTGAACCTGTGCGGAGGGTGCAGGCCGTCTCACCAGCGAAGCTGTAACCTCCGGACCTTCTCGGGGCCGCCCCGGCAAACACAGCACTCAAATTCATAGAACCTGCGCGTGGCCAAGACCAGAGAGCACACCATTCAACCCCACCGCTCTGTCAGGCTAGCAAATGAGGAGCCACTGCGGGAGGGCCGGAGAGCATGGCGGGCCTCACCTGTCCCCGTAGAGGAGGGGCTTGCTCAGACACTGGGTGCAGGCCTCATGGAACCACTGAAGGCAGCTCCTGCACTGCAGCATTTTCAGGTTCCACCTCAAGGAAGACAGCCTTCTTGAACACAGCCCACACCCGCATCCACCTCGCATCCCCACAGGGCTCCCCTCACCCTCTTCTCTTTCCCGGTTGTTTCTGGGCTCCAGCGCCACCGCCCCCATTGCATAACCTGCTTCCCCTCATCACTTACTCCCCAGGGCCTCCACAGTAACAGTAGCTCTGCTGTCTGTTGCTCAGATGTCCAGCATCCCAGTCCAGCCCCTTAAGTCCATAGGGCAGCGCGAGTTTCATGCCCAGCATGGCCCGGGCATAGGGACCCTTCTTCAGTGCGCCTCCCCTCTGCAGAGGAACAGATGGAAGCCTCAGAGAGGCCGGACAGGAGAGATGACGGGAGGCCGGCACAGGAAGAAGCAGAGAGGCGCCTTTACCTTCGTGGCGATGGCAAAGACACACTGGCGGCAGACCCAGGATGTGCTCTCTCCTTCCCCGGGGGCTGGGGCCCTGGGAACGTGGCAGTCCTGGTGATATGCTGGATAAGGACATGTTGAGAGTAGACCACTGTGTGCACACTGACGTGGTCATGGCAGCCTTCCCTTGTGCGCTTAAGTCCTGACCATGGTCCTACCGGGGGTGTGTATTAGCCTGACCTTCACGGGAGTGAACGGGCTTCCGGCAACTAGGGGCTTGCCCAAGGAAGCAAGCTTAGAAATCAGCGTATGTGAGCTACCCTCAACTTCGCACAGCTTATGTCACTTTCATTCTGCGGCTCCCTCTCCCTGTTCTGAGAGATGAGGTGACAGGGGAAAGCCTGGCCAGGACAGGAGACACAACCCATGTTGGAAGGAGGGGCTACTGGCACCGGAGGACCCAGGTCAAACTGCACCACGCAAGCACCCTGCCCGCTCACCGTGGCGACACTTCTCACAGCTGACCAGCCGGTTCCCAGGGACCACAGTCTCAGAGCGACAGACACAACAGAGGAGCTCCTCCCCGGGGAGGGCGGCTGTGAGGGAGCAGGGTATCAGAAGACCTACTTCGAGCCAGTGTCTCCCACCGGCTTCTGCTGTCCCAGGCCTGAAGGGTCTCACCTGGGCTGATGTCCTTCCACAGAACCAGAAACTGGGAGTCATCCTCAAACTGAACCAGACACACCTCCCGAGCACTGTCCACCTGGAATGGGTGAGCAAAGGTTACAGAAGGGGGCGGGAACCAGACAGCACAGTGGGGAGATGAGAGGCGGGCCTTACCTTCTTGATGGTGCCCAGGTACAGCAGCCCGTCAGTCCATCTGGCTAGCACATCTTGACCCTCCCAGAGTCGAGGTCTGGGGCCTGAGGTGGCAGCAGAAGCTGGGTCCCAAAGAGAGGGGGCACCCAGGCGGCTTAGCCGGGGGAGCTGCGCCATGGCATCCTGGGAGTGGGGGGCGCTAAATCGAAATAGGCGGAAGGGTTTATGGGCATTGAGAGCGCTTCCCTGCCTTCTTTGCCTACTTTTACGGTCACTGATAAAGGACCAGGCATCTCCAACCCCAGCCTCCCAGCCCTAAAGACATCTACAGAGGTGGGTCACCTGGTCAGCTTTTGGCCTCCACCTTCCCCCTACTGTCTCCCCAGCCTGGTTCTCCTGCACCCCAGCTCCCAGGGACCCCCTGGAAAGGATGCTTGCAGAACCACCACTCAGCTTCACCTTTCCCAGATGTCAGAGGTAGCCTAACTGAGGCGCTCGGTTGCCACAGATGTTTTGGGAGCCTTTTCTGGAGATGTTTCCCCGAGTAGAAACAGCTGCTTCCCCAGGCCGGTGTGTCTCATTTAGAACCACCGTCCTGGTGCCAGGTTATGTTAGGTCACCCTCAAATTTGGGGCTCCTTGCCCCGGGATTAGAGAACTTCCCTGAGTGCCCCAGGAGGGGGCGTGTCCCTGTCCAGGTCTCTACTCCCCTACACAAGTCTGACTTGGGACTTGATTGGCCCCAGCCCAGACCCTAAGCCGGGACCAGGAGGCTCTCCCACCTCTTCCTGCACGCCGACCCCCGGTTCCCTGCCCCCTCTCAGGGCCTCCTTCTTCTCCTTACCGGTGACAACTGGGACACCTGGGAGTCAGGCAGGAGCAGACCCAAGAGACCTGGGTGAGCCCCCGGTGCGGGAAGAGTGCGTGTGGGCGCTGAGGGGCGTGCAGGAGGAGGCCAGGGGGTCCCCGGGCCCAACCCCTCTGTCCTGGCGGCTCTGGAGCGTATGACGCAGCAGCCAAAGCAGCGGCAGCGGCAGGAGGAGTCGGCAGAGGGAGGGAGGAGAGTGGAGGGTGGGGAGCACCAGGAGGAGGAGAAGACGGAGGGGCGGGCAGGCAGCACCTCCCTCACCTCCGGCAGGCCCGGAGGGCGCTGCACGGTCGGGGGTGCCGCCGGCCGGGGAGGACCAAGAAATCCCTGCAGCCCCTTTTTCGGGTAGGAGGCTCGCTCTGAGGGCAGCAGGAAATAAACCTCTTGGCAGCTGGCCTGCAGGTCAGGGCCGGCCCCGCCCCATGCCACATCCGTTAGCTGT